CCATTAATAAATCACCTCTAAGACGCCTATATTCTAGTGGGTAAAGGTCTAGTAAACGGCGGCGTTCTTCGTAAGGCTTAGATTTGAGTCCTCGAACTGATTTCGTGGCTCGCCGTTGGATACACTCCAAAGTGATCTTGTCCTTTTGGAGTGAGGGGGGGAGTACTATGTTTCCGTACTCTAAATGGGGACGGATGAAACTATTGAAGATTGTGTGGAAAGTTCTTCCGTCAAACTGGCCAAAAATGCGCCTCAACGTTACCAGTGCAAGGTTTGCTCGGAAGGCGTTTTTGTCCCAGTTAGCGTAAGACTTTAAGTCATGGGGCACCAGGACTCCTTAATCTTTTCCGACTTGGGATACTACTAGAGAGAAGTTTCCTAAGTTGTAACTGTAGTTTGCGACATGTCGCAGATGGACTACTTTAAACTTTGAAGTGTTTGTAGTGACTCACGCTTATCACGAGAACACGACTGGTTTAATAAAAACAATTATTATTATAGCCAACTGTACCAGTGTTTGTTTTAATGTGCTTTTGTTTGACTATGCTAATGACAGCTATTTTGTGCTTCCATTCTTTTACTTACACTTTGATTGTAACTTCGCGCGAATTCGGTTACCTTCTGTAACCAAGGTTGTATCCTGGCACGATCTCGGTATCCTTTCGATGCCACGAGATCGCCAGCTAATAAACCTCGAATTGGTCCATTAATTGCCTTCTGGTATTTGGCTTCTCGGGGATTTTATGGATTTATTTGGTTACTTCCAACCCTCGCCTTCTGATTTATTTGGCACGTGTTTCTTGGTAGCGGTGTTCATAGTTAACCTCAACTCGACGCCACGCTACATGTTAAAGGTAAGTCCGTTATCGTCTGCCCAACTTTGAAGTCGCGTCAGATCCTCCTGAGGTGCCTATGTATCATCTTGGTTGCGTATCTCTCTCCAAATTTTCACGTCGTCGGCAAAAAGTAATAAGTCTGACGTTACCTGTTGAGGAAGATCATTTATGTAGATCAAGAAGAGAAGAGGCCCTAGTACTGAGCCCTGGGTGACCCCATTAGGCCATTCCATAGCCTGAGATAAAGTGAAATTAACCCTAACCTTAAAGTGTCGATTTCTTAGGTATGAAGTAAGCCAGTCGATTAGAGGTGGTTTGATACCTAGTCATTTGAGCTTGTTGATAAGACATAAGTGGTTAACCTTATCAAAAGCTTTTGAGAAATCAAGGTAAATGACATCAACCTTTCCCTTGCGATCGAGGATGCTTGTCCATCTGTCCACCGCAGTCAGCAGGTTGGTTATACAAGAGTAACCCTTCCTGAAACCATGCTGTTGGGGTGAGAAGAAATTTAAGGACAGTAGGTAGTCATTTAAACCGTCGCATATCAGGGACTCCATGAGTTTTGAAGGTAACGACAGAAGAGCTACCGGCCGGTAACTTGAAGGTTCATTGCGTCGACCACCTTTGAAAATTGGTGTGATGTGAGCCAACTTCCAATTTTCCGGTAGTTTGCCTCGGTTAAGCGAGTGTGAAAACATCACGCTAAGCGGCGTTGCCAGGATTGAGGCTGCCTCTCTCAGTATGGCAGGATGAACCATATCCGGGCCAGGAGAAGTGTCAAGTCTTAAGTGCTGCAATTTCCGGAACACCAAGTCAGCGCTTAGGTCCACTTCAGAAAGTCCTGTGGAGTTAGAGATGAAACTGTCATCAATAAAGTTGATGTCAGCCGGTGCTGCAGTTTCCGGAACAGCAAGTCAGCGCTTAGGTTCACTTCGGAAAGTTCTGTGGAATTACAAACGAAACTGTCATCAGTAAAGTTAATGTCGGTTGGCTGAAATGTCTGAGAGTAATGTTCAGCCAGAAGGTTAGCAGCGTCGCCATCATTGTTGGTCGGGCCATTAAGACCTAGCAGTTGAGAAACTCCTGTTTTGGCTTGACGAAGTGAGGCTGCATAACGGAATAGGCTTCTAGGGTTAGAGGAGAATTTGTCCATAAGCTTTGTTTGGTACTGAAGCCTGTCTTCTCTTATAGCCTTCGTGCATATGTTCCTGATATGTTTATATTGCCTATACGCTCCATCGTTATTAGTTCGTTTGTATTCCGCCCAACAGTGCCTTTTGCGGCTTAGCAGGCGAAGGGTACGGTTCTTGATTACTGTAGGTGGCTTGCAGCTTTTGGGAACCGTTTAAGGAACTGAATGGTCTGTAGCACATAAGAGCGTGTGCAGTAAGAAGTCCCAATGACCATCCACATCGAGTTGAGGGTGAACATCCCAAACCACCTGTTGTAGATAGTCATGTAGAGCTGGCACATTCAGCCGTTTAAAATTTCAACGCAAATTATTGTTGGGATACCTTAGCTTAGTTTTGATGACAAAACTGAAGGCTATGACGGCATGATCGCTCTTTCCCAGAGGAGCCAGGATTGAGAGGTTGTCGACCAGGAATTCTTCGTTAGTGAATACACAGTCTAAGCGCGACGGTGTCTGACTGTTTCTCCAACGAGTTGCCGACCTCACATTTTCATATAAGCCCAAGTTATCGATGAGGTTGAAGAACCGAGGATCATTAACAGAAACTCCTTTGAAATTTGTCACGGAATTACAAGAGAGGTTAATTCCGTTTTTCCACCATTCTTCAAGCATAGGATCGTCGTATGAAATGTCAGTATCGAAATGTCTTTTTACACAATCTACACAATCTACCTCGTATTTTTGTTATACAACTGAACAGCGTTGCGATTTCGGCAATCAAATTCATAGGTCTGTACAGTGTTCATTGAATAATAATCTCCAATTTAAAATGTGGAACACATATTTGGTCTTCAGGGTTTGACAACGCTTTCGTCGATGACACATTTGTGATCGAGAGGTGCCAACAAATTTCACTTGGATACCGTAGATGAAGGGGTTCGAAGATATATTTGGGAGGTTGTCGATGGGTTGATAAGCATCCGGTCTAAGCTGGCTTGTAACCAAAAGGCGTATGTAGCACGGTGTACCCACTTATTGTCTGGTGAGTGTGTGTTACCGTACGCCTACAACTATGGTGTAACCAATTATGTCAGCAACAATGTTAACGACATAAACGACCATTTATTTTTCTAATTTATTCACCACTACAGCTTTTAATCTCCTGAAGTAATAGTGATGACTGTGTATGGCCAGTGAAATGTCACTGATCCATCGCCAAATCATCCGTCATTTGGGTCAATGAATGTTGAACAGATCATCAATCCCCGTCAAATCTAAGGACAACAAACAGGCACTGTTTAATCTCACTTTATGAACTGACCTACGAGGTAGTGATCGCACATTTAATTGTGCCTACTTCAACTACTATTTTGTTTAATAACATCCGTTGTGTCTTGCGGTCTTCAAAGCATTAATAGTACCTTGATACGACGGAGTAATCTACTTTAGGTGCTGACCGCGAAGTGCGACTTCGCAGCTAGCTGTTATTCTCACTATTTCCATCTAACTCAATAGACCCCTAACCATTCGATATGCATTATTTCTGGGATTTCTAGTTTATACTATAATTCAAATAGTTCAAACTATCACATTGTCTATGAGATAAAGATCCTATGGTGGAACAATTGGAAATACATTCAGATTTTGATGCTTTTGAGGATTCGAAATCAGCACTAAGACCAAGGGAGAGGTTGATGATCTTATTACTGAGGATCATTTACTCACATTCATCCGAAAGGAAATCTACACCTTATTAAAAACTCACATTTACAGAAAAGCCTATTTCACTCCTTTATACAATTCTCAAACAACTACTACAAGACCATGTAAATGGTACGTATTTCGAATGCGATAAAAAGGGAATGCTTCATTAAATAACTCGTCAGGGCATCACGAATTCCATTATTTCATTACAACGACCAATCCAATGATTAATCAACGACAATTCATTGCGAATTCGCTAAGCACTGTCACAAGGTGAGCACAAGTTTTCTCAAAGCTTTTTCCTTGGAAAGTTTCATCCATCCATGTGCATTTCGTAATGCTTAGTGCTTTAAATGTGATAAATGATTAGACATATACAGGCAGTTGGCAATACTTCTATTCAATGCATTGCAAGTAATGCCAAGCTTCATAACTCTTGTCCTATAAACTTGAATGTTCTTAATGATTGTTTATCTTCATCCGCCATTTCGAAACATAATGTTCATATTCAAAAGCGATTATGTACATCGCTTGGCTCATTTAATGACTTTTTTGTGAACCATAGAATTCACTATTTTACTTAAGAATTTGAAAACTTTAGGTACTAAAGTTATGATACGCCCCAATGAATGAACGATATTGGCGTTTACTGGAGATAAAGTGGCCATACGAGGATGCAGTGAATTGCTAATAAGAGATGATAATTCTACATACGTGAATTTCCAGTTAGCGAAACAGGACTGTCAATACTTGGTTTAAAGCTTTCGAAAATGCCTAAAGTGGAGTTAGCTTTACTAGTTTTTAATCAAAATTCTGATGCTTTACTTAAAGATTTGATAGCTACGTGTGCTAAGTGCAGTGGAGGTATGAAAATTCAGCCTATAAAACTTCAGGTACAGGGTGACTTAGTCTTTCCAAAAAGACGAATAATTCCTATTGGCCTTCGAGAAGCCGTAAAAAAGACATTAAACGATTTCTTTGCGAAAGGTACAATTGAATCGATTCAGTTTTCAGCATGGAGTACTCCTATTGCTACGCCACTGAAATCGGATAGCAAGACCTCTAGAATATGCGGTGGCTTTAGATTAACATTGAATTCCCGTTTGTTGAAGCAAACGTGCACGACCGTAGAGGCTGAAGATTTTCTAAATCGACTTCATGGTTCTAAAGTGTTCTGGAAAGTTGAATTCAAGGATGATTATCTTCAAGTCCCTTTAGTTCAATCCTCATCTATTTTGACGACAGTTAACACTCATTTTGGCCTGTTCAAATACAACTTTCTTCAATTTGGTCAAAGTTGTTCTCAAGTCATATTTCAGGAAGTCATGAATAAGGTAGCTTGTGACCTTGAGGGTACTGACGTTTATCAAAATGATCTCATTGTTCATGGTTCTGATAAGGTAGTTCATGACGATGGACTCATTGTTTTATTGCGTCATTTAATTAAGAAGAATATTACAGTGAATCGAAATAACTATTCATTTTGTATACCTAGCTTTGAATTTATTGGATATCTAGTTGATGGTAATGGTTTTAGACCAGATATGAAACGACTAGCTTCACCGACAAGTGCAACATCTTCAAAAAACCTTACAGAAGTACGTTCACCAGTGGGTATTTTTCAATACTATTCCCGTTTAATTCCTAGTTGTTCTTGTTGTGCAAATTCTTTATTTAATATTTTGACATCCAATTTATTCAAATTGAGTGAGTAACAAGAGTCATGCTTACGAAGTCTACTAAAGTTTCTTCAAAATGATGCTGTTCATCGAACTTAGTCCCCTAGTGTACATTCTGTGCTTATTAATGATGAACCGCCCCTTGGTATTAGAGCAGTTTTGGAACAGGAAGTTAGACCAGTTATGTGTTTCACGCAAACTTACTGTTACTGAACAAGGTTATTCGCAGACTCAGCTAGAAGCATTAGCTGTGTTTTGGGCTGATAAAAGACCTCATAAATATTTATTAGGAAAAAAATTCACTATTGTTACTGACCATGAAGCTTTAAAATTTATTTATCATCCTGAAAGGTCTTCAGCACGTTCCTCAGCTGCTATGGTTCAACGATGGAGTATTGCTTTGAGTTCATATGGCTATACGGTTCAGCACAGGAGTGTCAAACAAACTCAACACGTTGACAATATTCCTCGACAATCACCACAAAACGGACCTGGTAATAATTCAGATTGTTTTTTAGTGCAACCTGTAGAATCCAAACTAAGGTTTGAACTGAGAAATGACTGTGTGAGTAGTTTAGATACGCGCTATTACCGAGTTGAATCCAAAATAAGTGATTATGCAAGTGACAGTTCTAGATTTAATTATAAATATAAATATACATCATTGTCTAAACAAATATTACCACCCAGTCATTCAACCAATAATTGTTCAACCAGTATGCAAATCAAAATTAGAATAAATAAACAAATTGATAAAAGATATAAAAAATTACCAAGGGAACAAAAAAATGTTATTCTATCCTTTCTGGATAGATCACGTACAGATTCGATCGGAAGATAATATCTGGTTGGTGTATAACACAAATTGTTTCTTATTCTGAAAGAGTGCTTCGATTCACAATCAAAAATATACAATTCCACTCAGCACAATCAAATTAGGAACAAACTAATATGGCTGCCGCTTAAACTAAGTATCATCTAAAACAACATAAATGCATTTCAGGAGGAAACATTAAAACTCAGTTACAGCTCAAGGAAAAAGCTATGGTAAAATACAAATATTAGAATCTGAAACGGAATAAAAAAGACTAACAAAATGTACAACTTAAGGAATCAATAGGAATATATTACAAGTGTATACATGAAGGAATTTTCACACACAGAACCATCAAATCGAACCTTACACAACCTTTACCGATGAGATAAGCAGATCTCAATAGAGAAACACATAGATACTTTAGATGCATACTCAAGACTATACGAAAAATTTGGAATGCTAAACGGAAAGATTTTGTAAAGTAGATAATGCAGGAAGGAAGAATTAGTTGGTAGAAAGAAAGACATAAAGCAACTTTAATCTCAAATTTCAAGGGCAGACAAAAAGTGTATACACCGACACCACTATGATTAATTCTGAGCCATGTCACCAAGAGTCTTCAATCACTGGTAACGATAGTCACGTGGTCCAAACCAATTAGTCTGTATCTACCAACATCGCTCAGGCTAGAAGTTAGTGACTTCAAGCACTGATGCCAAGTTTTGGTTTGACAGCACCTAATATTCTTCCAACCGTCCCAAACACTGGTTAGCATTGCACATCGTGGTAATCGGTGTTCGGGCATACGTAACACGTGGCCCAACCATCTCAGTCGATGAAGATTCATAACCTCATCAACTGATTTACCATCATTCCCTAATACCCTGCGTCCAACCTCACTATTACTTACCCGGTGATCCCAGCAGACGCCAGCAATATTTCTAAGGCATCTGTGGTCAAATACTAATAGCTTACGAGTGTCTTCTACTCTTAATGGCCATGTTTCGCTGCCGTAAAGTAAGACAGAACGGACTGCCGCGCAGTATACTCGTCCTTTTATTGATAGACGGATATCTCGCCTTCGCTATAGGTGACGTAAGTTGGCAAAAGCCAAACGGACTTTTTGAATCCGTGCTGAGATTTCGTCAGACACCTACTCATTAGGGCTGATCAGACTTCCAGGATAAGTGAAGTTGTCAACGCGTTCAACTGCTTCACTCCCTATCCTTAGTTCAGGTGTTGACGCAGACCAGTCCTGAAGCAACAAATTGCATTTAGAGGGAGAGAAGGGCATTCCAAACATGCTGGTATTGTTGCCCAGTGTTACCAAAAGACTCTGCATTTTATGAGCGTCTTCACCAAACAGGATTATATCATCTGAGTATTCTAAGTCGAATTATACCTAAATGATATTAAGGGGGTATGAGGACTAATTGTATTATAACAAAGCCCCTACTTTGTGAACTGTTAGTATACTAAACTTCATGAACAGAAAAACACTGGAATAATTCTTGGCTAAGCAATTTTAAAGTTTATTTAGTTAACTTATTCACAAAGTACTTGAGTAAGAAACACACTAGAAGTGAAAGTAAGTAATACCAACCAGTCGATAAGTAGACCTCCTGGAAGGAGCTCAATACCCGAGAATTCAGTCGACGAGACCGTTAGTTCCATCAGTAGGTCTATGATGAATTTAAACAAAAATGGAGAAAGTGAACAGCCTTGATGGATACCAATCGAGGTTACGAAATCTGATGACCGTTCTCCATAATCACTGACTCGACTAGTAGTGTTCGAGTAAAGAGCCCTCACAAGGTTTATTTACTTCTGAGGTACGCCTTTCAATGACACACACTGCCACAGAACCGCCCGGTCTACAGAGTCAAATGCTGCTTCTAAATTAGGAAAAATTATCATTGTCTGACGCCCACAAGCATGCATGTGTTCTAAAACCTGACGAATGGTGAATATGTGGTCGATGCAAACACAACCAGGTCTGAAGCCAGCCTGATTTTCTCGTGTTTGCAGTTCACGAGTCTTAGTGTTGTAACGGGTGAGACTGCAGGTTTTGATAAGCAGCGTTTATATCGACCGATTCAGTGTGTGACACGGAAAACACGTAATGAACGACCTGGAGTCCCGATTGGCCCTGCTTCCCTGTCTATCCCAGCCAGTTGAGTCCAGAACGCAAGTCACAGCCTCTGAGATATGAATCATTATATTTCAGACATACTCTGTTTATATACCAACCAAAGAAACGGCATCGTACCATAAAATAGAAAACAACATTAACACAATATTTAACAAGTGAAATAAATATCGACCAGTAGGAAATGTCCATTTAACGTCCATAAGCATGTCTGTGTTCTAGAACCTGACGAATGGTGAATAGGTGGTCGGTGCAGCCACGACCAGGTCTGAAGCCAGCCTGATTTTCTCGTGTTTGCAGTTCACGAGTTTTAGTTAGGCGCTCGATAATTATTGAGGCTAGTATTTTAGATGCTATGTTAGTCAAGGTAATACAGAAACAACTGACGTCATAAGTAGGTATTTCTGAAAACGAGGCTGACTCGGATGTTGCTTGGAAAGATATACAAACAGCTGTGGAAACAGCAGTGAAATCTGTTAATCATTTAAACCAAAGTCTACTGCACTGCTGGATGGTCGGGATTCCAAATTAATTCAAATGATCCTAATTATCACATATACTTAAGTATTTGGAGAAACTCAGAGTATTCAAACGGCCGATAAAAGTTGCTTATAACAGTAGCACGCACAAATTGCCCACAATGAGGATTATTATTTACTTACTTGAGGACTGAAATTCTTCCAAGGCATGATATATGTACGTAAGTGTGCCCTAGAACTGAAGTTAAAAAACTTATTGATTAACCCTTAATCCAAACAAATGAATTATATTATTGGTAAGCACATAAAAATTCCATGCAATTGCAATCCACTATTTGAACCTACATTTCTTCTAAGCATAAATCCAGGTCTCTTGTAGATATTATATCGGAGAGAGTAGCTTTGATCTATGTTCGAAACACTGAAGGTTAAATCTTTCGTATAGTTTTGAGTGTTGCCTTCTTAGAATATAGGTAAATCATTATAGTCCTTTGAAAAACACAAACTAAATGTGTATCACTTACAAATATCCGATTTGGAAACAGGTTTTTTATAGGGTGTAAAAGATAGGCGGAAACTTCAGAAATCGACACCTGTATTATTATATGCTGATCCTAATCTAATAATTATAATGCTAATAACATTGAACAGATAGTTGAATTGATGCGAATAACTGACGTGTTCATAATTCTTTAGTAAACCCAGTCTTATCTACAATTACACGACTATATCGAATATTTAACATATCACTTCAATTATAACGGAACAATAAACTGAGAGAATTAGACAAACATATCAGAATAATTAAACTAAGGTATTCAAAACACGACATGAAGAAATTTTACTAAACAAAGACTTACAATAAGTAATAAAGTCAACAATGAAGTGAAATTAACAAATATTATAAAAATGCTCAAAACAAAAGGAAATTCGGAGTATGTCCTACATAATAAAATGATAGCTTGTTTGTTTTGTGACAGACTATCAAGAATAGAATATCTTCTTTTTAAAGTTCGAACTTCAGTAACAACATTTTCGAAAAAAATACTTAAAAAAAATCAAAACTACATAGTTTGAAGGGATGGGAATCGCTCAAATTCATAATACATAGGGAGAAAATACAGTGACAAGGTAAAATAAAATCAATGAAATACTACTACCAACTACGATATCCAGTTTATAGTGACCATTGAAACAAAGAATAAATGTGAGATAAAAGAAGAAAAGATTGTTCGAGAAAGACCCATTAAAATAAGAAAAGATTAAATAGGTAAAAAAAGTGTCCAATGACCAGATGATATGATAAAACGTAAAACTGTCAATAATAATAATAACAACAGTATATACTACTTAAATTACATCAAAGTCATAAAGTATGACAGTTTTATCATAAGAACCAGAAATAATTACAGAACCTGATATCACAGCACATGTTACACCATCTTCATGTTCTTGTAAACTATGGACAAATTTATTATCACCTACTTGCCAAACCTAATTTATGGTAAAGAAAAAAGAACAAAACAACAAAAGTATAAGTAAAATCAGGAAAAATATTTGAACAAAATTATTATGAACTCACTATACTTTGTAAATTCTAGACAAGTCTAAAAAGTTTTCATTGAATTACCAATGTAATGAACAAAGATTTAGGTAGGACGAACCAATTTATTGTACCAAGCAAAATCACATACTGCATTTATAAAATATGAAAAACATACACTGTGAAGACAATTTATAAAATTTGCCTTGAATGGTATCTTACAAACTTCAATGTCCTTCCCATTCATGCCTTTTTATCTAACTATTTTTGTTTTGCTTTATTTACTTTTCACTGCCCTCTTCTGTCAGTAAGAATCCTATTTTCAATTCCAGATACATAAAACTCCTATCTATCCGTATAAATAGCATATACTATAACAAAACGTTTATTGAAAGACAGAATAATATTGATAAACTGAAGCGAGTATCTACGACTGCTTGAAACGACAAAGATTATCTATGAATTTAGATGTATATGCGTAATTAGAAGAAGAGTCTAGAAAACGTATAAGAAATCTAGGTGGGAAGTGGTTTAGAAAGAGGTGATGTAAAAGGGGTACACATAAATTCGATTAATTGAATTATCAATATCCAACTTTACAACGAATGCAAGAACAAACGATGTAACAACAGAATAAGTAGAAAATTAATTAGCAGAAGCATAACAGAAATACAAGTTATCATGCAGACGAAGAATTTACGGCAATTTGTTGTATGAAGTCGGGTTTGATGATATTATTAGTAACTTAACACAGTGAAATTGTATTATTTTATCCAATATCCACATTTAAGTGTGAAAATTATCTAACCATGAATAAAAGCAATTGATAATTAGGGTGCTGGATAATTAAGGACATTGACATCTTTTGAGTCATAAGGTGATGGCAGTTAAACGTATTTACAGTATTCTCCCTTTTCTTACAATGTATAAGTCTTCGTAAATAATCTGTGCTTGTATTAGTTTTTAAAAACCAGCTATGATATGCCACAACTAGAGATGTTTGACAAAATGAAAGAGACTCATCGAAGAATACAAAATTTGTAATTTGTATTTGAATAAAAGGACACGTACAAAACATTCGATTACAATAAAAAGAGATGTTAATAAGCGTTAAGTAGAAATATAAACCAAATTAATAAATAGTTATAATCAGAATGGGTTTTGTGGAGATTTTTAGAAATTTCACAGGTTGAAATCATGAGTCAATTGAAGCTAGACCACCATGGAAAACCTGGAAGCACTGAACGGCCATTTCGTCCTAGTATGGGACTCCTCAAGAGTGCGCATCCACGATCTCGCCCCCCCCCGAGATTCGGACCCAGGATCTATCAGTCTCGCGCCAAGCGCTTGACCAACTAGACTACTCAGCCGGCATCCAACGGTGTCAATGTCTAACTTCAACCAATCCACGACGTTGCGCCACCATACACCATTGTCTTCAGTGAGTTCCTGTCTCACAACAGACCTGGTTGAACTCCACTGGTAACGGCTTCTCACTAGAACTCCAGGAGTATCTCTTGAAGTCAGTCACTAGTGAGCAGACTATGGTGGTCTAGCTTCAATTGACTCATGATTTCAACCAGTGAAATAGTTATAACTTTAAGATCCAGTAAAATGAGACAAGAAAAGCAAAATAACCTTAATACCATTGGTTTTTATACAAAACGCAAGTAAATAGGCCCATATTCGATATATAAATTGGCCAGAATACACTTTAGATTAAAGTACGAAAGTAAGTGAAGGGGTGTTTGAAAATGACTGCTCAAACAATATATTATTATACATATATAAATATGAATTTTCAGGGTATTGTGGTCTGTTTTCTATTTTAAAATGGAGCACGAAGGTTTAAGGGTTATTATATGTGCATGAAATCATTATTTGACCAATCATAATTCATTTTATGAGTTGAACTTAACCTAGTGGAATAAAAAGAAGAGTTCGTAGAATTTGCGGAAACAAATCTATGTATCAAATATATGAATAACCTGTAGATGTGATATAAAGTTGAAGTTGATAGGGATATAATTTTGTAATCATTACCAGATTGTAACGACACATTGACAAAAGATTTTTATTATTTGCTTCACTTTTATACTGCAACACAATTCAGCAATGCAAACGCATTTCAAGACCAATAATTCACATTATTCACACTGTACCGAATATGTTTCTGTAACCAGTAACCATTGCCAGTTGATTGCATAACATATTGAAAATGAACTAAATGTTATTTCAACAAGATTAATATCAATTTTATTTTTATCCATTCGGAAAAAGAAATCCTGAATTTGAAGAGATTACGAGTTCACTTAAGTCTACAAACGGAACGAAAACTCAACGACACGATGACCAAATGAGCCAATTATTCCAATACGTCTCAGCCCCGCTAACTAGAGAGAGAAGTCCAGGTTCAGAAGAGATAAAATGGATTCCACAAGCAACCATAAGCATGAACAACAACTTACTTACTTAATCCTGTTACTCCTCGTGAAGGAGCATAGGCAGATCACCAGCATTCGCCATCCAACCCTGTCCTGGGCAATCCTTTCTAGCTCCGTCCAGTTGTAATTCATCCTTTTCATATCTATTTCTATTTCCCGACGTAACGTGTTCTTTGGCATTCCTCTTTTTCGCTTCACTTCAGGATTCCAAGTAAGGGCTTGTCTCGTGATGCCTTTTGACGATTTGCGTAATGTATGTACTATCCATTTCCATCGTCTTTTCCTAATTTCTTCTTCAGCTGAAAGCTGATTTTTTCTCTCCCACAAAAGGCTGTTGCTGATGGTATCCGGCCAATGGATGTTGAGTGTCTTGCGAAGACAACCATTTATAAATACTTCTACCTTCTTGATGGTGGTTGTTGTAATTCTCCAAGTTTCAGCTCCATACAGTAGAACTGCCTTGACGTTGGTATTGAAGATTCTCACTTTGATATTGTTTGAAAGTTATTTTGAGTTCCATATGTTCTTCAATTGTAGGAATGCGACCCTTGCTTTGCCAATCCTTGCCTTTACGTCTGCATCTGAGCCTCCTTGTTCATCGATGATGCTTCCCAGGTATATGAAAGATTCTACATCTTCCAGAGTTTCGCCATCAAGAGTGATTAAATTGCTGTTCTCCGCTTTGAATTTGAGGACCTTGGTTTTCCCTTTGTGTATGCTGAGGCCTACTGATGCAGAAACTGCTGCTACACTGGCTGTCTTTATCTGCATCTGTTCGTGTGTATGCGATAGGAGGGCTAGGTCATCTGCGAAGTTCAAATCGTCTAATTGATTTTGAGCTGTCCATTGTATTCCGTGTTTTCCTTTAGATGTCGAGGTCCTCATAATCCAGTATGAGCAACAACAACAAGCACAATTCAAGAGTATATATACATCATTAAAATGTCTTTGGGAAACGTTACAAAATAGCATATTAAAAGAGACAAGGAACCAATGACATTTAAGGTCCTGACAAATAGGAAGTACGATATAAAGGTGAAAATGGGCGCTTTCGGCGTGAAAACAAGAAATTCAGATTCCCAAAATATAATTAAAGAAATAAGACATTTAACAAGGGAGTTCTATGGATCTAGCATATCCAACATGAATATTCTTTTCACAAACAATTTATCAAATCATCGTCAATAATTAAGTATTAGATGTAGAAAATGACGAGAGCTGAGAAGTCCACTGAACAATTTCGTTCTACACTGAAACTTATCAGTAATACGCATCCATAGTTAAACAAGAAATAGGACGGAAAACTGCCAAATATCAGGGCGAACATGATATTTTGAGATCAGTAAGTTAGAATTTAAGGTTTTGCATTTAAAACTTTAAATGTATTGCGATAATTAGAGCACACTAATCACTATTAATTTGAAATAATCTAATGCAATAATATCTTACAAACTATCATCCTACCAAGTTATGATCTATTAAGTTAAAATAAAATTATAAATGATCAAAGAATAACACAGGTCGTCGTTGGACTTTTTTGTGTGCAAAAATTCCAAGATCGTTATCTAAATAAACATTTGAACAATTGCGTTTATATTCAACTGCAATAATGAGAATCATTTGTGGAAACAGTCAAACACTTTAATTTAAATATGCCAAGAAAGAAATGTAAAAATATGGTCTAAAAACAAAACACTCACTAATATATATGATTTTAACTTAGTGATGTACAACCAACTGTAAATGAGTTAACAGGTTGATATTAGACATACGTAGGATTATTGTTTCACAATAAACTCACCTTAATGGATTTATCATCGGAACCACATATTATATGCCATGCATCACCAGTTAAACATCGTATTAAACTGCCCGATTTATAATCAGTTTTATATAAGTATTCATCTAAATATAATGTACTGGGATAAAATGCCCACGTTATACTACTGTTATTATTATTATTAGCAGTATTTGTAAGGCTGATGTCATGGTTATGACCATTTATCAATGGATTAAATGCTGATAAATGTTTTGCTAATACTGTACCATCATGATAAGCTACAACAAGTCTATTCTGTGAATAATCCAAGTGTAAGCATGAAACTGATGAAGAAAATACAGCTGTTTCTGTCAAATTATTTCTATAAACTGGTCGAATAAGTGTATGATAACATACACCAGTTGAGATATTCCATATCTGAAAAACAATCATATAATGAAAGAAATGTTCAAGTGGAAATAATTTGAAAGATTGCAATTTTGAAGTAACGAAATATTTCTAGAATTTAAAAACTTGAAACTAAAGAAACCATTTACTGGTTATAAATGATGATACTGACTGGTTTATTTGGTAAAACCATATATATCTACACTCTCTTCTGGAATATTAAGCTGACTTCTTTAAGGGTTAGGATGTGTTTATGAATTATGAAGTTCAGAATGTGTATAATCTGGACATATTACATTTAATTAATTTGATCTGAAGTCTCAACTATCACAAGCTATTATTTTTATGATACTGTTATTTTTAAATAGTTTTCTTTGTGTATAACAGTTAGCTAGTTTTTCTAAACTATTTATGATTTTTATTGTTGTAAATCTAATGAAATTCTCTGTTGACATTGTAACAGTTGAAATCATGATTTCAATTATCTCGTAAGATATTTGAAATAAACTGTGATTTAATGGATCTAAATTCTTAAGCTTTAGAGTTATGACACTATCGCATATATTTAAAAAGAACACACTGAGTTAGCCTTTCAGTAGCGTTTTACAGTACAGTACACCGCAGGATTCATCACTTTTCTATATTCCAAATAACTCCATATACTCGTATTATGGAGAAGGCGAAATGTCCGTCTATCAATAAAAAGACGAGTACACTGTGTGGCAGTTCGTTCTGTCCTACTTCATGGCTGCGAAACGTGGCCATTAGGAGTTGAAGATATTCGTAAGCTACTAATATTTGACCATAGATACCTTAGAAATATTGCTCGCATCTGCTGAGATCAACGGGTAAGTAATAGTGAGGCTAGATGCAGGATATTGGGGAATGATGATGACAACCTCAGTCAGCTACAACGTAGGACCAGGCACATATGTGCATCGGTCCAGGTTGCCATACCGCATCAGCACAACAAGATGAACACCGGATTCATAGCAGTGGTTAGGTCAAAGGTAGTAATATGTAAGAGAAAGATTGCATATAGAGATATAGTAAAAGAAGAAAGAATTGGTTCGTACAATGAAAGATATGAAGCGATTTTAATCTCTTAGTTTAAGGAAAGACAGAGAGTGTATACACCTACGCCACTGTGATCGATTCTGAGCCATGTCACCAAGAGTCTCCAACCATTGGTTACGAAAGTCACGCGGACCCCAACCAAGTAGTCTGCATCTACCAACATGGCTCAGACTACAAGTTAGTGACTTCAAGCACTGATGCCACGTTTTGGTTTGGCCACCCCTAACTTTCTCCCAACCATCTCCAACACCGGTTAGCATTGAACGTCATGGTAATCGGTGTTTGGGCATACGTAACACGTGGCCCAACCATCTCAGTCGATGGAGATTCACAACCTCATCAACTGATTTACCATCATTCCCTAATACCCTGCGTCTAACCTCACTATTACTTACCCGGTGATCCCAGCAGACGCCAGCAATATTTCTAAGGCATCTGTGGTCAAATACTAATAGCTTACGAGTGTCTTCTACTCTTAATGGCCATGTTTCGCTGCCGTAAAGTAAGACAGAACGGACTGCCGCGCAGTATACTCGTCATTTTATTGATAGACGGATATCTCGCCTTCGCCATAGGTGACGCAAGTTGGCAAAAGCCAATCGAGCTTTTCGAATCCGTGCTGAGATTTCGTCAGATACCAACCCATTAGGGCTGATCACACTTCCAAGATAAGTGAAGTTGTCAACGCGTTCGACTACTTCACTCCCTATCCTTAGTTCAGGTGTTGACGCAGACCAGTCCTGAAGCAACAACTTGCATTTCGACAGAGAGAAGCGCATTCCAAACATTCTGGCATTGTTGCTTAGTGCTACCAAAAGACTCTGCATTTTGTCAGCGTCTTCACCAAACAGGACTATGTCATCTGCGTATTCTAAGTCGATAAGTGGACCTCCTGGAAAGAGATCAATACCCGAGAACTCAGTCGACGAGGAAGTTATTTCCATCAGTAGATCTATGATGAAGTTAAACAAAGATGGGGAAAGTGGACAGCCTTGACGGACACCACTTGAGGTTGCAAAAGTAGATGACAGTTCGCCATAAGCTCTCACTCGACCAGTAGTGTTCGAGTAAAGAGCCTTCACAAGGTTTATGTACTTCTGGGGTACGCCTTTCAATGACAGACACTGCCACAGTATCTCGCGGTCTACCGAGTCAAATGCTGCTTTTAAGTCGAGAAAGACCACCATTGTCGGACGCCGATAAGTATGCTTGTGTTCTAGAATCTGACGAATGGTGAATATGTGATCGATGCAGCCACGACCAGATCTAAAGCCAGCTTGGTTCTCTCGTGTTTGCAGTTCACGAGTCTTAGTTAGGCGTCTGATAATTATCGAGGCTAGTATTTTAGATATTATATTAGTTAAACTAATCCCTCTATGGTTGTCACAGGATGTTTTTGACCCTTTCTTATATATTGGGACGATAAGTGATTGTGACCAGTCAGATGGAATAATGTCTAACTCCCAGATCTTAGCTAAAATATTAGTCAACCTAATCGCTAAAATTGGACCACCATCCTTAAAGACCTCTGGAGCCAATCCATCTGGACAAGCTGCCCTTCCTCGTTTCAGAATAACTATAGCCTTTTCAACTTTAACTAGAGTTGGGGGACTTACTTCTTTGTTCCATTCACACTGTCTGGGAATGGAGGGTAGATGTAGAGTCGCTGAAGGCCAGCTGAACTGTTCTCTGAAATGTTCCGCCCATCGTTCTAAACGTCTGGACTGGGAGCAAATGAGAGTATCGTCTTTTTCTGATATAATCTCACTTACACTTGACTTATTAATTCCAGTTTCTTTTATTAGTCTGTAAAGCTGTCTTGTGTTCCCTATAGTCGCCGCCTTTTCCATCTCTTTTGCTTTCATTGCCCACCACTGCTCACGGTCGTTTCTTAGACTTTTTCTTAACCTAGATCTGATTTGTTGTCGCTCTTCATCATGTTTGGAACCTGATGGGACGAGTTAGCGAGAATCCATCAGTGTGATAGACTTTGAAGAAATCCAATGGTTCTTTGTAACTCTGTGGTTTAAGTCGCCAATAGATGTCACTGCTGTTTCCACAGCTGCTTGTATGGCTTTCCAAGCAACAACTGGGTCAACCTCGTTTTCAGAACTACCTAATCGTGACCTCAGTTGTTCCTGGAACCTACTTCTGGTTTTCTCGTTACTTAACTCAGTTCTAATGGGTCTTTTTAATGTGGCTTTTTTGCGTCCAGTGAGGCGCAAGCAGATGCGTGCCCGTATTAGGGCATGGTCGGAGTCCCTCTCCAACGATGACTGATGGCAATATGGTCTATTTGAGTCCATCGTTGGTTTGGTGCAGGCGGTCGCCACGTTAGACGATGTCTCTCCTTATGCTTAAAATTTGTGTTTGCTAAAAATAAGCGATTGTCTGAGCACAGTTGCAGCAGACGGTCACCATTATCTGTTCGCTGTGCCGGAATGCTAAAATATCCACCTAAATGCCTTTCTGTTTGGTTTAAACTACCTATTTGAGCATTAAAGTCACCTGCTACGAGTACTATGTCTGAGCGTTTAGCTTTCTGAAGAAGTTCAGAAAGCTTTCTGTAAAATTCATCTTTCACTTTATCTGAGCTGCAGTCAGTGGGAGAGTAGGCAGAAACGGCAAAAAGGCAACGACGTGTGTCCCTATCCTTCCGAGGTCTTACGGAGCCGTTTAACCGAACAGCACATAGACGACTGTTGACGGGGATCCACTCTAGCAGTGCTTGTTCGGCCCTCATGCTTAGTGCTATGCCTACACCTGCCAGTCCACGAGAACTGGCCATCGGGTCACCAGATACACGTAGGGTGTATCTCGTTGGCTCTACGTTTTGCCGAGGTAGGGTCAAGTGAATGACCACACTGGAATCCTGTATGCGTGTTTCGGAGACACAGCATACATCAATGGAAAGAGACTCTAGGGTTTTAGCCAAGGAAGCCAGCTGACCGACTTGACATAGAGTGCGTACGTTGAAAGCTCCAATGTGTAGTTTGGAGCGAAGTTTCAGTAGACCTGGGACAGAGTTTTGAGCACTAGAATCGTTGGCTATGGTGACACTTGAGGAGGAAGCCGAAGGAGGAAGTTTAGGGTTGAATGTCGATGTAGGAGGAATAATAGGAATTGAAGAGGAAGGTTGATTATGAATACAGTGGTCTTGGGTGCTGTTAGAGGTATGAGGGCGGTTATCACTTCCCGGTTGCCCACACCGAGGAAGGGTTCTTCTGGAAGTACCTGAAAAGGAAATTGGATTAGAGGTGGTCTCAGTGACCTGAGAGCGTGAATGCAGTGCCCAAGGGACAACTGCTTGAGGCCGGTCGCGCACGGCCTTTTCGTGGGAGGTTTTTGACTTGTTAGCTCCGTTCTTCAAAGGGCCTTACCGCCGGAGACGGAAATCCGTGAGGTGAGATGAGGTGCGCATTTTTGGGGTCGACCATTTCTAACCCCACCCGTCCTTGTGGGAAGGCAGCATCGCTGTCATGCTAGTTGTCTGAAGGAAACGCCTTACTGCTGTCACACTTCTGTACAGTCAGCAGTACGACTTCGCCTTCGAACCTTTGGTTTGTTGCTTTTAGTCTTACCGCTCTTCAACCGACCTGTCTGACATGGTAGGACCTTGAGGAACGGTTGTTCCAGCCAGTATAGCTCGGTTGCTTCATAACGATAGGCAAGCCCGACCACCACGTCAAGGTAGCAACAACGGTTGCTTGAACACCGATTACAACGACGCGCAATGCTGACTAGTGTTGGAGATGGTTGGAAGAAGGTTAGGGGCTGCCAAGCCAAAATGTGGCATCAGTGCTTGAAGTCACTAATTTCTAGTCTGAGCCATGTTGGTAGATGCAGACTATTTGGTTGGGGTCCGCGTGACTATCATAACCAATGGTTGGAGATTCCTGGTGACATGGCTAAGAATCGATCACAATGGCGTAGGTGTATACACTCTCTGTCTTCCCTTAAACTATGATATTAAAATCGCCTCATCTTTCCTTCTACCAACTAATTTTTCCTCCTGCACTATGTCTTCATATGCAATCTTTCTTTTATGTATTACAACCAGCCTCACATAAACTGTAAATTAAAATAAGTTCACCAAGAAGCCTCGCTTCAATGTAAGAAAACGTTTTATTACATTAAATGAAAGTGTGCAATTATCTAGATAAGAGTAGGCTGAGAAAGTTCAGTATCATGACACATGTTCATTTAGTTAATCATGAGTTATGTATACGATAAGAACCTGTATTTTTTAAAATACTGAGAACAATTAAGAACGAACTAATTGACCATAGGCCAAATTGATACGCTAAATTAACTACGTTGTCAAAAGATTAATTATTAAAAACATACACTTCAAATAGCGTCATTTTAAGATATAAACAAATAATACTAGTCAGCATTATCATAGCCCCCAAATTCGCTGATACTGCCGAGGGTGGGGAGAACCAGCTTTCTCTCTCGAAATGCTTTCACATGACCACGTACAACCGCTACCAGGGAAGCTTTACTTACTGCATTCTCAAAACAGGGGTGTTGTTAACGAAATTGAGATGATGGAAAGCGAATGTCCGGTGCTTTAACCGGGTTGGTAGATATGGAGGATTCACGTAGAGGATTTGGAAAACCCTGATTTCATACCAGTGGTGTACATGGGCTCCAGTACCCCAAATGAACAAATGGAGTATGAACCAATCGCTGGTCACCGACTACCATGGGACTGCATCTCATGACATTGCCCCACTACCTTGTGCATCAGACCTTAAGGTCAAAGGCTCCATGTGTGGTCTCCTAAGAAAACTAACCGTTTCGGTCTGGGCATCCGCGAAGTATCACAGCCCACACACAAATCAAGTGGATTGTGTGGCGCACATGTATTTGGTGTCCCTCTGTACCAATATTTATGTGTCCAAATAGACAAATAAATAAAATAGCCTTATTATACATTTTTTTAAGAGAAAATCCCCATAAAAATCTGTTTACTATTAAAACCAACTGACAGCTGTACCAATTACAATAATTACAATCAACAATAAATATGAGGAGTTGTTTTAATAAGAATTACTACTTAAGATCATAGATATAATATATGTTTATGAATCTAATGTTTTATTTGTGTACATTGTACAGAGTGTTCGAATATTACCTATTGGTCAGTTTATTTTGATTTAAAACAAGTCAGACAAATCAACAATAATCTAACCCTTTGATAAATGTATGTAGTGTAATGAGAAGATCAAGATTATCAGAACTATATAACATATTAGCGTAATCTAGCCTGGTAATATTAGTTTACTATCCACCATAGTGAGTTTCACATTGTTTTTCATATTACTTTCTTGATTATCTTTGTTTTCTCTTAGCACCCCATTTGTTTAGTTGACCTTTGTATTTTTATATATAAATATTATTAACAAGTATATGTGTGATCAGATTGTTCGAAATATATTTCGCTAATATATCACATAGTTGTGATAATCTTTACCATTCTCATTACACTATTTAAATAATCTAACCGATCGACAACAACAACAAAATGTTTTCTATAAAAATGGAAAATATACTATAATCAGAGTAGATAAAAACCACTAAAATAAAATAATTATCCGTGCAAACACAAGGATTCCTAGTAAATAAATCTATTATGCATTTGTTAGCGGGACATATTAGATTAAAGCATACTCAATGCACGATTGCGCTGATACATGCTGATTGAATAAGAGTTAGCCAATCAGCGCTAGTCGATATGGCGAGACTAATTTATGGACGAACCTTGAACGAATCTTAGTTGACCTTGAGAATTATTAGCCAATCAGGAGACAGTTAGTACAAAGTAAAAATATATTATAAGAAACTAATGAATTACAGTGGATATTCTTCTTTTACATGATTTAAAAGCTTGTTAAGTTTCGATAAATGTTCAGATGTTCTGAAATCATAATGCATACGATATAGGAACTCGTCCATATGGCTCCATAATAGTCGTCTTCTAGAGCCGTGCTAGGGTTTTAAAAATTCCTTCAGTCTGGACCACATGACTTCAATATTATTAGTATGAACGCCGGTTGTAGGGTCGACGAAATGGCGCTTGTACACTACGACATGATGCATACGCCCAAGTCTATGTAGGCATCTATAAGCTCTCCAATCATCCGTATATACTGTAGTGCCCGGCTGCACGTATTCCTGTATAATTGGTATTATTGTGCTTGCTTGCCGGTTTCTGACCCTCTGAAAATGTCCGTTTTGCGTTGATCGATCATAAATTCCAAATACTTGTCAAGTATATTTACTGAAGTGCTGCTTACCCAATCTTCCTTGATACTACGTCCCCTATTGTATTTTTGCTTTCTCACTACTGTTTCATCTATCTCCACAATACATCCTACTCCTCCGAATGATTGGTGTAGACGTGTCATTTTAATTGCATATATGTCACGACAATACCCATACCACTGAACTGCTGAAGTTTCAGTAACATCTGCAAACGCCGCAGCCAGTGTTACTGGTGTCTTTATTATCCAATTTGCAACTATTATCATGATCTGCCTCAGTTTCAGTCGCGATCGAGCGAAGAAAGTTTTCGTTCGAGAAGGCTTTTTCCTCCAACATAAAGGAACAACGAAATACAATCTCATCACGGTAGTCTGCACACTTTACTTCAGTCATTTGATAACCGCAGTCACAGGTATAGAAACTTCTTAGTAGTCTCATCTCTTGTAGCCTCTCAATAATCACTTCATCTCTAAAATCCGCTGTAAACCGATCGTATGTGAGCATCAGGTGTTGAACTTGGCCCCATGACCTTGAAGTTCCTCAAACGCTTCTGGTTGGCTCGTCTATAAATTAGTTTCGCCGTCGATACTTGAAGAACACTCTGTAATCCTCTCGTGTAAAAAACTATGAATATACTAACGTTTTTCTTATTGTGCTTCTTACTTCCATCTACCCTTGTTATTTGGAATATAATTTCTTTATTGTTCAACCGTGTTCTGATTTGGGAACTTGTCCAGTGAATTGGTCTCCAAGAATACTAAGCAATAGAAATAGCTGGGTTGTAATAAGAGAGAATTATAACAGTATTATTATTTAATAAAATTAGTACAATATTCCTGCTAAGTGAATCGATCCGTAAACATGAACTATTAGAAAATCTAAAGAATTTAAGTATTTGGTTCGTTTTGCATGGCCGAGTGAATACACTATAGATGAGAAATAGACATCAAAGTTATTCTTGACTCAGTTTGTGTACAATATGTTTTTTTTAAAGAAGGGGATTTCAGTGTTTAATATAGTTGTTGAAATAACAAATTATATGAATGTGTGTAAGCAAACAATTTGTAGATATCAATCTCAAGTTAGGATTTGATGGCTGCCAATAAATTGTGCATTAGGCAGAAAGTTAATATTTTTTTGATAACCCAATGAGTAATAAACTGTATTTCTAACGTTTCGTGACTTAATGTAAGCCACTTCTTCAGATTAAATAAAGAACCGTAATAAAATTAGTACAATTCTAAATAGTACAAAGGAAACAATGCAGAAAACAAATAAGACCAAATGTAGTTGTTTGGTTAAACTCACAAAAAGATCTAATAATCCTGTAGAATTTGGAAATCTACAAGTGTAATCAGCGATAACAGTACATGCTATATTCAATAATCAACAAATTTATATCAAAATAATTCACGAAGGCTTTTTCAACTATAAAGAGAGGCGAGTAGCATTTCATAAAATGTAAAATCCCTTTGCCCTTAATAGAAAAGAAGACCTGAATATTCATCCAACTTGGACTGTTTATCTGAATAACCAGATTTGACCTTATATTTTTCGCCGACAATCTACACGCACGCACACACAGTTTCATCCCCACCACTTCAAATTAATACAGTGACAGGTTATACAAATTCACCTTGACCAGAAATAACTTGACATTTATGTATTCACATCTATTATGATTTTGACTATACAGAGTATATTCTGGATTGTTTTTTGTACTATTTAGATTTGTGTTATTTATTTACTCTGAATAAGGGATCTACACTATTTCACGAGACGTCAGAATTACACTATCAAAAAACACATATCATAAAAATTCATATTTATCTCAAAAAAAAGTGAGTATTCTTTTTATCAATAAATCAGGAAACTTACCCGAACTGTATTATCTAAAGAGCCAGAATATAAAAAATTACCGCTGTACACTAAACACGTTATACCAGCTGAGTGACCTCTATGAACAGAACAAAAGTAAGAATACATTTATTTTAAAGTATTTCTAAAATTCTCTGAATGTCAACTTATAATAATGATGTGTGGGCGAGAATGACAATGATTGTTTGTCTGCTTAGTCAGACATGTAGATAGTCTTGTGATGCGTGCTACTTATATTGACATAAGTAGTATATAACGCGAGTCAGGAATGTAATGTCTGGCAGCGAAAGATTGGGAAGATCAATAAAGGAAGAACGGGAAAAGAAAGCAATTAGTATAGAAATGCAGGAACAATGAAGTCCGAGACAATTATTGAACATTTTGCAAATCAGGTATTATAGTATGGTTTTCTATTTTACCAATTAACTCTGTAATGTGGTTAATATAATTTGGTTGTCCTCACCTGTGTTCTCCTTCACTACATTTTGTTCTTGCATTTTCATACAAGTTGCATCCTGCATCCATTCTTTACTGTTCGATCCTCTTGTCTCTCTGCTGCCACCACAGTCAGACAGGTGCCAGGTGAGTTATATATTCCCCTATCCTTATTATTATTGTGACTCACTTATTCTTGATTGTTCATTGTCGTTGGATTGTGTCGGGTTTTAGTGCGGAAAAATATTTACGTTGTGGTCAAGCTAATTACGTGTTCTTGATCTGAGTTGTGTTGACGTCTTTTAGAATAGACACTTGGGGGTAATCTAGTATAGATATTCGTCTAAAGTAAATTAACGTCCCATACGTGTAGACGTGCAAACCCAACAGTTATAACATTAGACGAAGTAAAACCGAGCATTAAAACAAATAGAAAACCATAAATGATAACGTATTAAGCCACTGCATTGCAATATTTCTATGACCTCCAAACCAGCGAGTCGTGAAGAACTGACATGCTAGTCCTGTTCAAATTTCTTTAATACCATGAAACCATGTCACAAACTGAAAAAATTGCAAATTTGAGACCTGTTCTCAGGACAGTTGGTATATATATATATACGCTTGTCAAATAATCATTTCATCGTTTTTTATATTGTCCTAACTGTAAACTCTTTTGAATCTTTGATTGTTGGAACATCTTTTATCAATTATAAATAACTGTTAAATAACTTTAAACCTATTACCTAAATTTTTGCCGGAAAGATTCTAGTGATGTACATACTGAGACTTTTTATTTATGTAGCGGGTTTATCTTGTATTTTACGTATAAAGTTAAGCGATATTTCGAGTCTGAAAAGAACAGAGTACTACTAGGTAATTACATGGTCTTTCAGGTATTTTGTTTGGTAGTTTAATGAGTAGATGAGACTGTGTAGACAGTCGACGGTTAAACTATGTAGTAACGATGTTAGAAGATTTACGGTACAAAGTAATCAGGAAATTATAACAATATCTAAGTGTTATATCTGTTGTAATAATATAACGAGAATAGTGATATATATATAATACACTCACCGGAAAATTCTTTTCATTTGGCCACTGATTATACTCCATAACCGTATCGTACAATCATATGAACCGCTGATAACTTTTTCATGATCAGCCTATATAATAAAACAAAATTAAATCAAACTTTTAAAATATTTAAACGGATAAAAGAAGAATTTTAATCGGTACTGCCAGGATATTTAACTTTCATTCAATCTATCACTACTGTTAGACCAATGAACTGCGAACTGCAGGAGTCAGGAGTTTATGTGACAACAAAGATTATGAATACATATAAACTCTTGTAATAATCTAACTACTGACCTAGTCACGCGGAGGCATGAGAAAATAAACAAATATTATAGTGTGCTACTTATGTCGACATAAGTAGTATATAACATCGATGAAAAGTGGGATGCTTCGCAGCGGAAGGTTGAAAAGAACGAAACAAAGAGATTGAGAACAGAGAGTAATTGTTATGGCAATGAAGGGATCATGAAGTTTGAGACAAGTGATGCACATGGGCTCCAGTATCCTTAAGGAACAAATGGCGTATGAACCAATCGTTGGTCACCGGCTACCATGAGACTGCATCTCCCTACGATGCTCCACTGCCTTGTGGATCAGACATTTAGGTCAAAGGCTCGGGGTGTGGGCCCCTAAGATAGCCACCTGCTTCGGTTTGAGCACCCGGGCAGTATCATAGCCCACACACAAACGATGAACTCTCTATATCTATGGAAACTACTTTTCTCGTTTCGAAAATCAATCAAATGATTCAAATTATTATCATTACTATTATTGTCATTATTATTATTATTATTATTATTATTTACCACATTATTCACCCTCTTTTATACTTATACAGTGGCTCGTCTATGGTGGAAATTCGACTGTATTTAAACGTTCTCGAGTCACTGTCCGGCTGAAAATTGTATGTTACCACCGAATATGAGTACTGAAGCAGTTTTTCTGAAACCACGTGCGCCATTCAAACTGGCTGCCTTCAACGTCCGCACACTTATGCAGGTTGGACAACAGATAGGGCTGGCTATGTCTTTGGAAAGTCTTCATATCGGTGTCTGCTGTCTATCCGAGACCCGTATTCAATACTCTGGTGAAGTACTACAAATTCGCTCTCCATCTGTCGCTTCAAAAAGCTTGTTTTACATGCTCTCGTCCGGGGACCCCGTGGCATCTTCGTCTAATCTTGTTGGCGTTGGTGCCATCGATGATATTCTGGAAACAGCTCTGATGAATGTAAGTAATGGTGGTGTGGATCTGTTGCCTGGAGAAAGACTTCTCAACCTTGTGTATGCGGACGATATTGTCTTACTGTGCGATAATGCCCAAGGCATGCAATCCGCACTTAATCAGTTGGCAATCAATGTCCGTAGGTATGGTATGTGCTTTGCACCTTCGAAGTGCAAAGTACTTCTACAACACTAGCAGGATTCCAATCCTGTACTCACCTTGGATGGTGAGCAGATAGACGTAGTTGAGAAGTTCGTGTATCTGGGTAGCTGCATAAGTGCTGGTGGGGGTGTGATTGATGAGATCAATGCACGAATAGTGAAAGCCAGAGCGGCTTATGCCAATCTGGGCCATCTTTGGCGCCTTCGTGATGCTAGTCTGGCTGTAAAAGGCCGGATCTACAACGCGTCGGTGAGAGCAGTTCTGCTCTATGCTTGTGAAACCTGGCCTCTCCGAGTTGAGGACGTTAGACGACTCTCTGTGTTCGATCATCGCTGTCTCCGGAGGATTGCTGACATTCAGTGGCAACACCATGTCAGTAATGCAGAGGTTCGGCATCGTGTGTTCGGGCACAGAGATGATAATTCAATTGGTGTTACCATCTTGAAACACCGACTTCGGTGGCTTGGACATGTTCTCCGAATGTCGTCCCAGAGAATTCCACGTCGTGCATTATTTGCCGACTCCGTGACTGGTTGGAAGAAGCGGAGAGGTGGTCAGTGCATGACATGGTGTCGTGGAATGAAAGAAAGCTGCAAAGGACTGGCTTCTGTTGGTCCTTCACAACTCCCTGGTTGGGGTCCGAGAGATGGTGCTACACAGTGGCTAGAGACGTTATCAGATATGGCTCAGAATAGAAGCCAGTGGCGATCCTGCTGTAACCTTCTTTTACTTTCTTCATAAAAAGTGGTTGTGTCTCCTTTACCTGAAAGATTTCTTCCGATTGTACCTTTCCGTTCCCTCATTTCTACCATACTACCTTACACCAGTCTCTTCGTTATTCTTCTCTTTTTTTGCGCTCCTTAGCTTTTTTCTTCTATTCCTCTTCGAATTGTCATTGTTTTGTGTGGCGCATATATATTGGCACTCTCTTGTACCAATATTTATGTGTTCAAATAAATAATAAATAAATAAAATGAAGTATTGAACGTATGGTTTACACATTTGGCGAAAGAACTCTGTATTTTATGGTTGTCCCCAGCTGCGTTTTCGTTCATTACAATATAAGTGATGAATAATTCATAAGTGCTGTAAATCTATTGACAAACGAGTTCAAAATGAAACGTTAACACCTAATCTACAAAAAAGAACTCTGATTTTAGCGATGCAGTCTATAAGTCTGTGGAATACAGACGTGATTACCATATGTATATCTGAGATTTGAATAGCTGGTCAAACTTGATGATGCAGCTTATTTATGCTGGAATATTAAGATTCAGCAAACATTTAATAACGACTTCATTCAATTTTAAATGCAAAAAAAGTTCTCAAGTTCATTGATTGAAAATTCATGATGTTTTGAATAGTTATTTCAACCTATATTGAATCCCAATTAACACACGTTTATCTCTGAAAAGATTATAAAATATAGACTCAGGAAGTATACTTCGCGATTAGATTTTAGAATTTCAGAATACATGAAGATAATGTTGATCACACACACACACACTTAAAGCCCGTTCATATCAAAACTTCACAATGTTCACTTCTTATAACAAAAATAATGCAGGTTGAAATCAGTTATTCTTAAGGGAATATTATAACCATTTTACACAACGTATCAGCTTACTGTAAATTGTAATCTAAAACTTTAATGATTATAATGTGTGAAATTATATTTGTGATTATTACTTTATTCAAGGGTGATTATGAATTAATTCAGAAGATAAATGAAAACAAAACGCTTTCATTTACACTGAAGTCTACTATATCTATAGCATTCTATCAAAAAAATATTTCATCAGTTGAGCTTCCCTGTTAAAATACTATGAGTGTTGAAACTCTGTGTAGAATTTGAAACTGTATATATCATTGTCAGTCCCAAATATTATTAATAAGCTATTTAGGTAACTACTACTTATCTTCCATATAACTGAATCATAATAATTAACGATTATGTTTAGATCACAGTTATGTCGTCATTGCTAATCGGATTATGTCCGTCAAGTTGCAATTTAGTCATTTACAATAATGATGATTAATTATGTATGAGGTAACGTCAGAGCAATATAGTGATTATCACTTTGCAGAAATGAAATCTAAACTAATTATTAGAATATAGGATATATATAAACTAGATTTTAACAATATGAATGAATTTTAAAATTTATTTATTCATTTTAACACATAGATATTGCTACAAGGAGGCATCAAATACATATGCGCCACATAAATCTCATTCGATATGTATGAGGGCTGTGATACTGCCCGGGTGCCCAAACTGAGGCAGGTGGTTTTCTTAGGGGGCCACACACAGAGCCTTCGACCTAAAAGTCTGATCCACAAGGCAGTGGAACGTCGTAAGGAGATGCAGTCCCATGGTAGCCGGTGACCAAAGATTGGTTCATACGCCATTTGTTCCTTAAGGATACTGGAGCCCATGTGCACCATTGGTTTGGAATCCGGTTAAAGCGCCGGACATTCGCTTTTCGTCCTCTCATTTTCGTAAACAACACCCCCGCCACGAGAAGGCAGTGAGTAGGACTTCCCTGGCAAAAGCCATGTACGCGTGGCCATGCGAGAGCGTTTCGAGAGGGAGAGCGGACTCTCCCCACTCTCGGCCGTACCAAGGCATTCGGGGGCACGTTAAAATTTACACACTCTAAAACAATAGTTCAAAAGTTGAATTTCACTGTTGGAATGAATTGTTGATTATTTTCAGAAAACATATTCTATAGTGTAGAAAAAAAGAAAGATAACTATTATGTATTTTAAATTTTATACTTTATTGTTATTTACAAGTAGTAATAAGAACTAATAAACAGGCATGAGGAGTCCCATACCAGGACGAAACGGCCGTCCAGTGCTTCCAGGTTTTCAATGGTGGTCTAGCTTCAACTGACTCATGATTTCAATCTGTGAAAATACCATGTTCATTGATTGAGTGTTAGATAACTGAAATTTTGTCTTTTAGTGGATAGAATTTGAATACCATTAATTGTCTTCGTTCACTTAAAAAATTTATCTTGCCAAATAGTCGAAATGACTGAGACAGCTTTTTATGAAATTACAAACCACCGAATTACAACTAGTCATTCTCAATGGAAATCAACTAATTACATTGTAATAAAGAACGGTGGTTATTAGTTAAGTATCATTAGTCAGCCCCACATTAAAAAAGCGAGATCGAACCAATCACACTAGTAATTTTTCGAAATATGAAAAAAGGGTAGAAACTCATTGGTTTTATTCTCCACCACTTGTCAGCCCTAAAGCAGTAATAGAAAGGTTGCCAACTATTGCATGGTGATTGTGATTTTCCATCACGCATTGTTGAGAAATTTCACAGTATGATTAAAAAAATTTAGAGAAAAACATTTTGTCGCTTGTAATAATTTGTTAATTGGTTGTAAACCGTGTATATTTGAAATCTGGTTAGCTCAAATACAAGTAGCATAAAGTGCTTTGATTGGATATGAGAATTTTCATTTTTACATTCAACTTTTATTTTGAATATATGATTCTGTCTGACTACTCTGATATACTCTTGTCTGTGAATGTATATTGTAATAAACTTTATTCGATCAAGGAGAGATTGAATTGAAGTCGTTAGTTATAGTGACAAGAGGAAAATGTATATCATTAAGAAAAAACTGGGGAAAAAGTGATAACTGTTTTTAATAGTTGATAATAGGGATTTATGAACTAGAAAGGTAATTAAATGTTTAATGCACAATTAGTGAACTAATTTTCATCTAAGTGTTTCATAAGTAATTTTAACACATAGTTTGGTCTTGTAATACTCGTTATATGAACGTAAGCAGATGAATAAATCATCGTGATCAGATAATGAATAGTTCATGTATTAATAACATTGAACGTCAAGGATCGGTACGTAAATAAACTTTTAGGCTTTCTTAAAATAATAATTTCTGAGAAAGAAGTAAATAGTACTTATGATTGGGTGATTTTGTCAAATGATTTATAATAGAAAAGAGTTGTTGAATTTCGTTGTGAAAACGGTTTCGTTAAGAAACGAAAGATTGTAATTGCGATATTTTGCTGACTACGGAAATATAATTTTTTGGGAGATGGAAATGTACAGAAAACGTTTTGTAGTATTCCACTGAATTAATGCAAGGTATACTAACAAAGATTTAGTAAAACGTTTAGAAGAACGAAATTCATATTTTATATACAACGAACTGCCTTCTCCTGGTGGGGGTGTTGTTAACGAAATTCAGAGGACGAAAAGCGAATGCTCGGCGCTTTAACCGGATTGGTGGACATAGAGAAGCCATTTAGGGGAGTTGGAAAACCCTGATTCCAAACCAATGTTGCACATGGGCTCCAGTATCCTTAAGGAACAAATGGCGTAGGAACTAATCGTCGGTCACCGGCTACCATCGGATTGCTCCCCTTACGACGCTCCACTGCCTTGTGGATCAGACTTTTAGGTCGAAGGCTCTGTGTGTGGCCCCCTAAGAAAACCACCTGCCTCAGTTTGGGCACCCGGGCAGTATCACAGCCCTCATACATATCGAATGAGATTTATGTGGCGCATATGTATTTGATGCCTCCTTGTAGCAATATCTATGTGTTAAAATGAATAAAATAAATAATAAATAACCCCTTTAAAAGCACAGATAACGATTTGCTGGTAGTATCAGTGATACTCTTATTTTAATTCAAGATTCCATAGAGGATGTAAGCTAAGGCGAAAGAGATTTACTTATTTCTCTTCAACTAGTAAAAATCGTTTGATTGGCAACACAAACGCTCTACTTTGTGTATAAGATTCCTTTTTGTACTAATATGAACGTATAAATAGTTAATTTCAAGATTCATTAAATTGTAAAAGCGTTGACCAGCTATTCAATATGTTCATATACAAGGGGCATATGAGATATTTTATAGGAACTTCATAAAATATGACTTAAATAAACTGAACAATGGATTTTAATGGAATACTGAATCAATACAAATGTCAGTTAACAAATAAAAATGGATTATTCACTGAGACATAGGTTTATGTCTATCCCAATACTCTACACGTTATGTTTTTCTTTATATCTATAAGGTCAGACACGTTGTACGGATAAACATCTAGTAAAAAGAGCTAACAATGCGAACTTGTATGTTTAGTCACATTAGTGAAACGTTAAGCGTATTTTCTAGTGAATATGTCACTGTTGATTCCAAAAAGCGAAATATTATAAATTGTGATGATCACACCAACATACAAAAATACAGTGTTCCTTACAATATATAAACTTTTCAATAAGTCTAATGAATAATAGTTGACATGTTTATTCATCAATAAAGAATATGATATAATTTCTTAAAATGTTGAATAAATTATATTCACGTACCTGTACACATCTTACAGTGTCAGTATGACCTTGCAATGTACATGTGCATGCAATACGTGACCAATTAGATGTTGCAGAAAGACGCCATAATTTTAAAGTAGTATCTGCACTACCAGATATTAATAGTACTTCGGGTGGTTCCCAACAATTAGGATATGTAACAGTTGTATCTAATTTACATAAAGAACATGGTATTGATGCAATTGATTCGTGAATACAATGTACAGGAGGAGAGGAACAATAACCATCGATATTGTTATTATTATTTGATTGGTAATGAGGTAAGGATAGTAGCTGTACACAACGAACAGCATCTGAATGTCCACGAAGTGTTTGAACAGACCATTTTGCATTTGTACGAATATTCCATACGCGTATTGTTGCGTCAGCTGATCCACTAACAATACGATAAGCATCGCAATCAATACAATAAACAGCTAAAGAGAAAATTTAGGAAAATAAAACAGATTAAATCAATATCATATTATAGACAACGATAGGACAAAAGTTGAATGTAGAACTAATTATACACATTCTCAAGTGTATAACTGAAGGATTTAGAAACATATATGCTACACATAAAATAACGATGATAACAGACTGTTGGGGACGTTAGATCCCCAGAACTCACTTGGGGAACGACCTAATTTTGTAATTTATTTAGAAAACTTGAATTTCTTTGTTTTTGCGCCAAAGGAGCTCTTGTCACCTTCACGTCATATTTCCCACTGGGAAATATCTTAAATGCTATTGGTCAGTTGTGTCTTTTAGTATGCTATTTGGTAACTCTACTCAAGGACGGTTATGCACTGTATATACACGTTTTGAATTGTGTTAGTTGTTATCGCTCGTTTCTGGCTGTTTTGCAGAATATACTTCCCACTCCAAGCTTGGAATTCTCCCTCTGGTTAGCGGGGCTGGGACGCATCAATAGCTGGCTTACTAGTCTTTGGTCACCGAGTCTTGTTCTCGTTAGCCGATTAAGTGAACTCGTGATAGCTTCAACCTAGCATGCCTATCGAGTCTCTGAATCCTTGATTCTTCGTTCCGTTCCGAGTAAGGCGAATCAGTAGTAGTATTCAAATTAAAGAACATAACATAGACAAGAATAATATTTTGATTATAATATTTTCTTACTAACTAATTCAGTTACCATCTGAAAATAGAGTAATTTATGCAGTACGAATAAACTAAAAGATTGATAAAAATATAGTTTCAACGTTTAACATAATGGATAAGATTAAAGAAAAGTGCTAAATACTTGTTAAAATTGGGTGATCGAGTTAATAAAAAAACCCATTCAATTTATCTCGATACAGTAACTTGTAATTTATTCATAGTGATATCCTCCAAGTCGTGACTATTTACCCAGAAAGGTCATTACATTGATAATGTAGTAATTCAGATTATCATAAAGAGTCGAGTACCGAAATGGCTATAATAAGTGATGATAATAATAATAATAAATAAATAGCTAATCCAGTTTGACAATGAACACTAACCAATATAATCTAATACACAACAGATTATTAACTAATAATATCCAAATCACATGCTCTAAACGATGTATTTTGCCCTTAGCCTGGCCATTTTTTCGGATTATTAATTTGGATATATAACTGTAGAACCTGTTGAGAATTTATCGAAAAGAATATTCTTCGTTCAAATACTAGTCTTTTAATATGACGGGGATCTTTAAACGATTAAAATGTTGTGAACAACCCATTGCGTTGAAGGTGCTCAATGAGTTCCTGAAGTATAACGTAAAGTTCACTGAAACGAAAACTACTATTGAATTTATCAATAGGTGCATCGAATCAGGTCATTATCCTAAATTGTACTATACGTCACTTCGATGAAACGGGGTCTACCCCAATAGAAAAACACTGAAACGCCACGCCGTAAACCAGATTGACGCCTTGCATTCGGACGTTTTTCGCAGAAAGTATGCAGTAGATGACTTAGCTGAGGATTTGAAAATACCTTTTATGGACTATGTTACAAACCTTATGGACCAGAGATCAGGGAAGAAACTCACCCAGCTACTGAGAGGTCTGGAAAATCAAACGACCGAAAGCAAATTTCCAACTGACTGTAAAAGGTATGTACATAATTTCGCAAATGTTGAACTAGATAAAGAAAAACTAGAGGTATTATCCTTAGGTCTGAAATTTTGTGATACTCGTAATAACTGCAACCACATCGATACAGATATACAGTTCGAGAATCTTTATAGTCAGACACATGATTTAGTTGTGAATTCTGATCAACAATTAGAACATTTTAAATCAACTCTTGTAGACTGCTGTTACCAATATAAGAACAATACATTTAGTTACAGAAGCATTCTTACGAAGAAGCACAAGTAAGCTATCAACTTACTTCTTAAGAATGAGACGTTACTGATTACAAAACCTGACAAAGGTTCAGGTGTCGTTCTTCTTAATAAAAGTGATATTGAAAAAATGAGTACAATCTTAAATGACAAATTAAGGTTTCAAAAAATAGCTGACCAGAAAGATTTGAATAATAAGATAGAGAATGAGCTTACCAGATCTTTGAGGAAGCTCAGGGACCAACAGGCTATCTCATCGGGTTTATATGAAATGATTAAATCAGTGGGAACCCATCTACCGAGATTGTATGGATTGCCAAAGGTGCACAAACCGGGGGTCCCATTAAGACCTATTTTAGATATGTATAACTCTCCTTACCATACTACCTCTGCACGAAAAGCTAATAAAATATAGTGTTAAGGATGTGTTCCAATTTGTTGATAAAATCAAAAATGCAAATACGGTCGGACTAAAGATGATGTCATTGGATGTAACATCGTTATTCACAAACGTCCCACTCATAGAGACTGTAGAATATATAGATGAACAGCTGATAGAAAATGAAATTGAAACTACTGTCCCTATTAGTGTCGTGAAAGAGTTATTACTCAAATGCACCATGAATGTAAATTTCAAGTTCAACGGTGAAATATATAGACAAACAGATGGTGTTGCAATGGGTTCACCACTGGGCCCTATACTAGCTGATATTTTTCTAGCCAAACTAGGAAATGGTGCACTAAAAGAGATTATTCGCAACTTCACATTTTACTGTAGATACGTGGATGACACGTTCATCCTCTGTAAAGATAATACGTCACCGCAAGAGGTTCTTAGGCGATTTAATGAAGTGCATCCAGCCATTCAGTTTACATCTGAAGAAGAGAGTGATGGCCGAATAGCCTTTTTGGACGTTCTCCTGACTAAGAGAGCGGATGGATCGTTAAAAAGGAGTATAAACAGAAAAAGTACATGGACTGGGCAGTATACGAATTTCTTGAGCTTTGTACCTCTTCAGTACAAACGAAATTTGATCAAAAACCTTAGTTACCGTATTCGCACTATATGTTCTGTTGATATAGTCGAACAAGAGCTTACCACCTTGCATAATGCTCTCAGGGAGAACGGCTACCCTAGAAAGTTTATAATTAAATATATGGTCACGAAGGTGAAAGTAGGCGAAATACAAACAGTCAAGAAGAAATCCCTGTTCATGCGTCTACAATTCAGAGGTGATGCGGCTAGCGAAATACTAACTCAGAGATTACGTAGGACAATACAAAAGTCTTTTAACGCTGGAGAACTACGATTAGTATTTTCTACGCGCCCAATGGTTACACCGAAGCTAAAAGATGAATTACCTAGAATGACCACCTCATTTTGTATTTATCAGTTCAACTGCTCCTGTGGAGCGAGTTATATTGGTCGAAGTTCTAGGAATTTACATTTTCGTGCTCGTGAACACCTTCCAGCGTGGCTAAATAAAGGTTTGATGAAGAAGGTGAACAGCTCAATATTGGCCCATTTAGTACAAACCGGTCATAGTGCCAGTATAAACCAATCTTTTTCAATTATTTATTATTTCTGTCTCACCCTATCTGACCCATATTTATTCTGATCATGGATCTTAAATTTTTACTTAACATATAAGCTGATTCAAGTTTACATTCTATATGAGTCATATTAACATTAACAATTTTATTGTATTTTGTTTATCACAATCCTAAATTCACATGCTCTAAACGATGTATTTTGCCCTTAACCTGGCCATTTTTTCGGATTATTAATTTGGATATATAACTGTAGAACCTGATGAGAATTTATCGAAAAGAATATTCTTCGTTCAAATACTAGTCTTTTAATATCCAAATCTGTTTGACTCCGATTTGAAAAAAGGTAAACACAGGCAGAGAGAGCAGTCGATGATTAAAAAAACGAATAGGGAGTTTATACCAACTAGTGAACATTACTATAATAATAATAATAATAATAATAATAATAATAATAATAATAATAAATACCAAATTTTGATTATTTATTTAATAGTTAAATGATTTAGCAATCTCAAAGTCACTGGCGATCATGATTTTTGAGCGACTAAAGTTATCAACTTTACATTTCTTTAAAAAGATGCTTTATTAATGGCAATCGAATTTCAATAATTACATTCCACAAACAAACTCGGCTGGTTCGGGTAGTACACATGAACCAAACATAAAATATGTGGCTTAATACCAAATATAAAAATCTATATTTCATCATGTTATATCTAGAGCTTCTATTTTTGCTACAACTTGAGCACTCGAACGCTAGAACCATTCAAGTTTCAAGTTAGAAGACAAGTAGAAAGGGACGTCATTCAAAACAGTGTCAAATACGGTACAAAACACTCAGATATTTGTAGTTTTTAGTAAAAAAGAAATAATCGTTGCAGTCATCCAATCCGCATGTAGTGGCTTCTAGCATTCGTCCAACCGGGAAACTACACGTCGAGATTCCGGAATGTTCTTCCGGAAGGTGATTAGATGGAATATCTTCGGTTCTTTTAGAGCTTCCTTGAGTTCACCGAAGGCCTTCTCTACACATCACATAACCACATAAATAGGAAATGTACAGATCATAAGTATTTTGAGAAGTTAAATTACCAATCAACGATTTTTTCATGCAGAAAATTTTCTACATTTTTAGTAAACAAGTGCTTGGACTGAAAATTACACTAAATAGTAATTAAATAGTGAGAAGTATAATTGTACAAAAACAACAAATGCATACCTCCACTATGTCCATTAAATTTACGTATTCGATGTTTGCCCAAACGAAAATTACGTCTTAGACACACACGTTTCTTGAATACATTTAACCACTAATGAATGTGAAGTAAAGATAATAAGCAAAACTTTTAAGTGTAAAATATATGCATTATAAATATAAAATAAACAACAATCGTTGGCTAATGAAGAAAAAAATTAAAATAAACTTATCCGTCAAAAACGTAAACTCTGGTTCATCAAATTTACTAATTACATTTGTGACTACAGTAACATAATTTGTCCAATTGCCCTATATGTAAATCCTCTGTATCCATCAACTTGGTTTAAAAGTCGGATATTTGACTCTGACCTGTCGTTTTCGTATAAAACGCTCAGTAGCGTAAAGACAGTGAGTACAAGTTTCCTGGCACAGGTTACAAATACATGGCTGTATGAGAGCGTTTCGAGAGGGAGAAGGGACTCTTCCCATCATCAGCATTACAATAGCAATTGCATTATATATATAAGTGTATTTTAAGCAGTTAGTAAGAATGATTTCATGTGAATAATTTTGCAACCTAGGTATGAGTATAACTGCTGTCTCCAACAAAACACTTAAGAGAAATATACGAATTATATAATACTAAAACTAATTATTTATTTTTTCTCAAGGTTACAAAAGACAATTTATCAGCTTATTTATTAATACGAGTTATATGTAATTTACACCAAGAATAAAATAGGATTAAACGAGAATTCTGTTGGGGATGTTACACCCCCAGAACTCATTTTTATTTTGGAAATTTAAATTTCCTTGTTTTCGCGCCAAAAGCGCACTTTTCATCTTCATGTCGTATTTTCCACTTTAGAGAATCTCTAACGCTATTGATCCGTTGTGTATTTTTAGTATGCTATTTTTGGTACGCTTCCCAAGGACAGTTTTATGCTGTATACAAATGTTTGATTTGTATCTGTTATTATTCACTCGTGCTTTTGGCTTCCCGAATATACTTTCCCGTTCCAAGCTTGAACTTCTTCCTTTAGTTAGCGGGGCTGGGATGCATCAAACAGCTAGCTTATTGGTCTACGGTCACAAGTCTTTGTTCCGTTCGCATACCAAGTGAACTCGTAATAGCTTCAAACCTAGCAAATTCAACTAATCACTAAAAACAATCACTTGGATTTAACATTGAGAAACAATTTTAGCGACATCATCAGGTTATACAATTCAAATTTGGGTAAAAATATGAATTCGAAACGTTGACTCAGCAGTTGAGTCGAGTAATTTAATAATTAAACAATTGCTAATACAATCAAATGACAATAAATTTTAAATAACACAACTAATCAAACTAGCAGAATTTTCATGTGTTATCTATACACAGGAAAAAGAAAGCAAAAAACAAGACTGATAAGTGTCAAATCATTAAGTTTTGTAGTAAAACAGTTTCTTTGAAACGTGTATTTTTAGATTTGAGTTTCATCATCTGTTACATTCGTCCAATTATTCATATACAATGTAGAACTTGGCATACATGTGCATCAGTTCAAGTTGCTACACCATATCAACACGCAGAAATGAAATTATCATGAAAATGGAAAATGACCAAATATCAAAGTCAATGCTAATAAAGTTCCATACATGATCTGGATTTTCAATTGACCTCAGTCATTGGCTATAAATTGGTGGATGCAACTAAATTTTAACACTTTTACACATTCGAATTCAATTTACCTACTTAAGTTCGATCAATTACATTTTGTGTTGATCGATAAGAGTTGCTGTGGATTGTGACCGAGTTGCGATGATTAGAAAAGAAATGGATATTAATGAATAACAACATATATAAGCGAACAATATCGTTTTCGATTAGATCCTCATCAGGCTTTACTCTAACATACAGTAATATTTATATGCATATACGAAATTATTTAACCGATCAAGGTAGTTTATAAGTAAATGATAACAATGAAAACGATTACATAATAAGTGAAACGTGAAAAGTACAAATTGATGGTGTGACAACAGGTGCATTAGTTTTGATAATAATAATAAAGGTTCAAACCAATGTTACATAATCGGAAATAGGTCAATGATTAGAAAACTATAGAAACTGAGATAATAATTATAAAATGACGTAATAAGAAATGTTCAGATAATTGGACCATGAAACGTATAGTTGAGAGAAAATAAAGTGGTAGGAGGGGGTGGAGAAAAATAATAAACGAAGAGAAAGTTAGAAAAAGAATAAATAAATTCATCTATTACTTAAGACCAGGGGAGAGATAAGGGTGTTACAAATTTCTTCTGAACACAAAGACTTGGCTTGTTGGCTCGGATTCTTATAGTTTCTGCTATGTGTAAGAGATGAGATCGAACACCATAAGGAAAACTAGTGGGAATACGATAAATAACTTTGAACGACTTGTTTCTGTCCACTATATGACCGCTATCGATCAAGTGTGATAGAACCGAGCTGCGTCTTGTTTTGACGTAACCTTTTCCTAACCACGAAGGGAGGTGTTCACTAACTCGTTGGTTCAGTTGCCTGGTAGTGCGCCCAATATAGCTTTCTCCACAGGAGCAGCTGAATTCGTAAATAAACATAGAAGTTGCATAACCGGGTAACTTACCCTTTAGTTGGGGAATCACCAGAGATCGGGTCGAGTACTGTAGACAGAGGTCAGCTGCATTAAACGTTCTCTTCACTGCTCTACTCAGCCTATCACGTAGCACATCACCAGCTATATTTCCATTGGATTGTAGATTCAGGAAGAGAGGTTTCTTACTAGCCGTTGATGTCACTATTTTCTTGTTTGTTACACGCAAATGTTCCTTCAAGAAACCCTGTGGATAACCCATTTAAATTACATATTGTGTATGGGCTCTAATTCATTGTTAATTGTATCGACTGAACATATCGTAATGGCTCTATTTGCCAGGTATTTGACTAAGTTTCTCTTATAATGAAGGGGTACAAAGCTTAAGAAATGTGTGTATTAAGTTGATAAAGAACTTTTTCTATACACACTTCTACTGATAGAACCGTTTTCTTTTCTGTTTAACAAAACGTCAAGCAAATGTAGTTTATTATCTAGCTCCTCTTCACATGTAAATTTAATTGCCGAAGGTTTGTTGTTAAATAGTTTTAATAGTTCTTCTTTTCCAATGTTCTGATCGACAATAGTGAAAGTATCATCAACGTAACGATAGTAGAAGTCCGGTTTATCAATAAAATCCACGAGAGGTCCGTTCTCTGGTTTCGCAAGAAAAAAAAACCTTATGGATAGGACCTAGGGGTGAGCCCATCGCTACTAGTACACCTGTCGTCACACTACCAATATATACTTTTCACTTATTTATGCAATCTATTCCACTGTTATCATTGATTCATAAACTACCTTGATCGGTTTAATAATTTCGTATATGCATATAAATACAGGAAATGATATTTTATATCGAGAACAATATACTAGGATGTAATGATAATAAAAAAACATTTAATCAACGTTCACGAAATGTAACGCTTCGAATATCAGTCAGTGTTTTATTTTTCTATCAGTTATGACACCTACATGTGGCTTCAGCACATATAGATGCTGTTTATTAATTTGCGTAGAGAATTCACATTTTCATATGGTTGACATATGAAAAACGATAACCTAGAAATAAACACTTGAAATTCTTACATTAATATTTAAATGATTGCTTATAAAATTATTTGAATTTTCCTCTTGTACACGATAATTATGTTCATTGGATTTTGTTATACAATTGATTAATTGTGGTTTTCTTAGAATAGGTGAGGACCATTTTGGTAGCATACAAAAGTGTCGATATAAATCAGGATGTCGAGCGTATTTTAGCCAACTTTTATTGACTTCTGAACATACTGTCAAAGATTCTTAAGACGATATAACAAAGGAAAATAGAAAACTATATAATTTATGAAAATTTGATTAATGATAAACAACAAGAATGTAAAAGACAAATAAGGACGAACAATTACAACAAAGGCAATAAAAAAACTAATTTAAAGCTGAGGGAATAACTGAAAAGCTTACTTGTGCATGAAATGGGCGCTGGTGATGTTGTCAAGAACGAAAACAATAGCTTCATATTTAAGCTAACTGGTTCAGAGAACACATCACTCACTAGAGCCATTATTAATATTATAATAATCTGCGTTTTGATAACTATTAGCAATACATTAGGATCAACAAAATGGACCTTTGGTTAGTTACAACAAGACTGCCATGAGATGCCCAAATTTGATTACTATACACATACATCGGAATCAGAAATATCAAGATTTGAGGCAATATTATTTGTTTTTTAGACCGTCATTTTCGTAATTTTAACGATTTCAGATACATAATTTAAATAACAACGTACAAGTAATTTGTAACTTTAGTTAATAACAAATACTTGTATTACGGAGATTTTGAAGATGAATATAATCTATTTTTCAGCAGGTAGTGTTTAGAATTGGAAAGATCAAAACTACGTATTTTCATGAGTTTGGGAACCCTGTACATCTGATCGTGTCGTATTTTTTGTCGCTGGATATATATAAGAAATAGAATTAAGGAAATCTGACTGGGATACAATTTTCGTTTTCACTGTAACTAGAAGTCATAATATTAAGTTATTTGGTAGAAAACAACATTGTATTCGCAAACTTACAAATAGTAACTGTCCCCATAAATTAAAGGAAGCGGGTTATGTGTCAATTACAATATTAAGAATGATCAATGGATGTCGACTCTTGATAATTTTAATATTTATTTACTACGAACAGGATACTAGACCCGTTACTTTCAAGGTGGATACTCTACTGTCCAATTGCAAGGAGATAAAAACAGAAATCACCATTTTAAAAAACAAAGTTTATCGAAAAAAGCATACGGAATAATGTAAGCAAAAAAAACTTATAAAAAAAACTTTGTTTTATGATCCATATTGAATTTGACTCTATGAAGTGGCTGCTAGATAAAAGTTAAATAGAAGTTTATTTTTAGCAACAGAAATAACCCACGATCTAGTTGCCAAGTTATGATTTTAACGTTACAAAATTGAGAGACACTAACACTATCATAAGCGTTCATACTAAAGTGATTTTTCAAACAAGTCATTACTCCACACACACTCACTCTTATCCACACTCACGTTTGACGATTTAATATAGAGTTCATATTTGAGGAAAATTATGTGATACTACAATTTTCAGTGAGTTAAACGCAACGTAGAAACTGATACATGTGTGCGTCGGTTCAAGTTACCATAATCTATTAGACAAACTTAAATTTTAAAAATGAAGAACTAAACAACTGGTTTTAACCAAACGGCATTCAGTCGATGATTATCTTCAAGATTATTTGTCAGACATCCAGTATGAAGCTATGAATTTTGTAAATTTAATCAATTCTTGAGTATGATAGTAAATTTATAGATGAAGTTAAGTAGCGTTGGTGTACTTGATAATTAGCTATTAAAAAAAGGAAACAACTGTTAATCTCTCACTACCCTAATAACTTCCATTTCTTATCATTCAATTAAGTAATATTTTACTTCACATTCGTAGTGAAAAATTTCTTTCTCATCCTTAGGCTTTGAGCTTCACTTGCTCTACTCTGTCATTCTATCAAAATTACTGGTTGTTATTACATAACTTTATCATCAATATTCATTCTCTAGAAACGTGTCTCCATATGTTCTAAAAATTTTTTATTCCGGAATGTCCATATACGTGATCAAATAAATATTCAGCCACTTTATCATTCTTGATAACACCTCCATGCTCCTTATCATTATTCTACAAATCTTCAGTAATATGATATAAAATATGTACATTGGTTATACATGATTATAACCATCGTCTCTAGGTTGTAAGCAGTTGACGAGAATCTACGTATATGCTTACTTTACTCTAATTTATTGGTCGGGAAATTTGTGTGAAATTAGCTGTTTAATGCTTTTTTTAAGACTATATCTAAACTCTTCTTGCTGAATGATGCAATGGCACATACAATTAAATAAACAAATAAGTCAACTTGAATAAAATAATTAATTGTTACTCATGATAAATCTTTATTTACGTATAAATGTAATTGAAAGTACCTATAAAAAATGTCGTTAAATTTCTAAGGAAATAATCAACAGTAAGACAGTTTCATAGGTTGAAATCATGAGTCGACTGAAGCTAGAACACCATGGAAAACCTGGAAGCACTGGACGGCCGTTTCGTCCTAGTATGGGACTCCTCAGCAGTGCGCATCCACGATCCCACACCCCGCGAGATTCGAATCCAGGACCTATCATGTTCGCGACGAGCGCTTAACCAACTAGACTACTGAGCCGGCATCCAACGATGTTAATGTCTAACTTCAACCGATCCACGAAGTTGCGCCACCGTACACAATTGTCTTCAGTGAGTTGAAGTTAGACATTAACACCGTTGGATGCCGGCTCAGTGGTCTGGTGGTTAAGTGCTCGCGCGCGAAGCCAGTAGGTCCTGGGCTCGAACCCCGCGTGGTGCGGGATCGTGGATGCGCACTGCTGAGGAGTCCCATACTAGGACGAAACGGCCGTCCAGTGCTTCCAGGTTTTCCATGGTAGTCTAGCTTCAATCGACTCATGATTTCAACCTATGAAATTTCCAAAAAACTCTCCACAATACCCATTCTGATAGTAAGACAGTTAATATTCATTATTAAACAGTATTTGAAATCTACAGAATTTAATAAGATTTCAGAAAATTTGGAAAATGAAAGCGATTAATAATAACATTGGAATCGTGAGACGATTTAAGTGAAACCACCATTGAAAGACTTGAAGAACTAGATTGACGTTTTGTCCTCGTATAGGACTCCTTGAGGCAGGAATCGAGCCCAAGATCTTCAGTCTCGCACGTGAACGCCTAATTTTTAAACCACTGAGCCAACATCCAACACTCATATTGTCTAACTTTAATTAATCTACAACATAGAACCACCGTAATCTATTGTCTTCGGTGGGTAACTGTTTCACGCCTGACACGGTTTAGCTCCACTGGTCACGAGCGTCCAGGAATTCCAGGTTTTCAATGGTGGTCTAATTTGTATTGGATCATGATTTCAATGAAATTCTACAATCCACACAACCCCATACTGACGATCAAACAAACTTCTACTTGTGGAAGAAAGCTATAAAAAATTCGTTAACTGACACGAGACAATCAAACTGATACTACCTGTCACTTTGATTAGACCAATGATAATCCATACTACTTAGACAGAAAAGAAATAAAACTATTTTTATTAAAATTAAATAACTTGATAGCTGAACTTAGAGGTTTTTAATGTTGGAAGACAATCTAGATTAAAGGACCTCGAGAAAAATATAAAGCAATGGACAACAGCTCTAACTATATCCAACAATAATAACTAATGGAATGTTTTCAACTGTTTTCATCTATGAACTTGAAATCTTCATCTCTTGAAAAGTATACAACCGAATCACACTGTTAAAACAATTATTTCATTTACATCATCAATCGATAACAGAACACGACAATTAATGAGTAATTGGTTACACAATTTGGACCACCACACAAAAGAACTATATTTAAACAGAAAATAACAAACCGATAAAATGAATAAATTCTGTAATTAAAACAAAGTTCGGACAACTCTTACTCCATGATAGATAAGAGAAAATTCGTAAAGTTAATTCCGCTGGTAACCAAGTAACAAAGTCACAACAATCGGGCATACGTTGACAGGATGAATGGAGATGCGTGGCTAAGCGTAAGCTTTCAAAATGTCCAATGGAAGTTAAACCCTTAGAAAGATTTAGAAAAAATAACAATACGTAATTCGAACGAAATCTTTAGGAAATAGTTTTTAGCATACACTGTAAAAAGTATGTTCACTATTTCGTAGTTACTTTATTTGTAATCAATTGACGATTACGTAATGAAAACCTAATCGACGGGGATCGTTACATACTCATTTTAATATTTCCCTAGTGAAATTTTAAATTTAGATCTTCTCCAGTGAACATCTAGTATACAATTCATTTGTTCCACGACCACAGATCCTGTTCCTAATTTAGTTTAGTACACTTCCAACGTATTAATCTTTCCCTTAACTTCAAGAATGACATGAAAATGTTTACAAACAGTAGCTATTCGCCTAGTTCAATTTTGTTTATTCTCTCCAAGAAATTTTACGAATAATATTTGTATTTTGAACTAGGTATGAGTCGAAAATGTATCTATATACAAGGAAGTAATAATTTACAGTATAAATAACTTGTATGATAGATTTTATTTTAAACTGAGCACTCAAATGTTATCCTATCCATTACATAAATAAATCCCTCTGTATGCTTGTTACATCGTAAATTTTGTACACCGATAACAACCTACATTTGAAGGTGAGTTTTAATTATTAAACTTTAGAGCATTATTGATACAACTAGAAAAATACTGTCTAGAATGATTAAAGGTTAAAATTGTACTTATCGATAAGGCGTTTTAACTTCCTACCATGATAATTCATAAATGCTTCAATTTAATAAAATGGATGTTATATTGATATGATGATTGTTTCAGAAAGATTATTATGCACAAAAACAAACATACAGACATGATTGCATACAAATATCCAGTTACATTAAGATAAAATCAAGAAATGAGACATACATAGTGAACAGGAAATTTGTAAAAGCTAATTACACACAGGTTGACAATGTTGTATAACGATAAGATTAGAACAAAAACAGTTTAAACTAGACTAATCATTTTTAATTAAACGCCGTCACTCATTTACTAAGTATAGATTTTTTTATCTATTTAACCTCGAACTATAAATTCTTGTATTTGAGGGATAACTAAAGCGAAGAAAGTAGAGTGGATTTTAACTTGACACAAGGTTAATGAAAGTTTAGTTCTTTAATTACACAGCCACTAAATTACTACTTATTAATGATACCATATTGAAGATTACGTAACATAATGACTACCAGAAGATCATAGAGTTTGCTATACGGAAACGTTGTATAGAGAAATCGAGAGAGCCTATTCGATGTAAACCCAAAACAAAATTGAACTTTCATATCCTATCGCATTAATATTAACTTCAAAAGGAAAACGTTTATTTCTATGACAGTAATATCTAATTATTATGAAACTGTTGAACAAAACATTTTTTTAAATTTATGATGCACAGAATATTATTATTTCCAAATATTCCTGTTATCTTGTAAGAAAAATCCAGTATTAGTCATATATTTATTTATTTATTTGAACACATAAATATTGGTACAAGAGAGCGCCGATATATATGCGCCACACAAAACAATGGGAATTCGAAGAGAAGCAGAAAGAGAAAAAAAACTAAGGAACGCAAACGAAAAAGAGAACAATGACGAAGAGATTGGAGTAAGGTAGTGTGGTAGTAACGACGGAACGAAAAGGTACAATCAGAAGAAATCTTTCAGGTAAAGGAGACACAACCACTTTTTATGAAGAAAGTAAAAGAAGGTTACAGCAGGATCGCCACTGGCTTCTATTCTGAGCCATATCTGATAACGTCTCTAGCCACTGTGTAGCACCATCTCTCGGACCCCAACCAGGGAGTCGTGAAGGACCAACAGAAGCCAGTCCTTTGCAGCTTTCTTTCATTCCACGACACCATGTCATGCACTGACCACCTCCCCGCTTCTTCCAACCAGTCCCAGAGTCGGCAAATAATGCACGACGTGGAATTCTCTGGGACGACATTCGGAGAACATGTCCAAGCCACCGAAGTCGGTGTTTCAAGATGGTAACACCAATTGAATTATCATCTCTGTGCCCGAACACACGATGCCGAACCTCTGCATTACTGACATGGTGTTGCCACTAAATGTCAGCAATCCTTCGGAGACAGCGACGGTCGAACACAGAGAGTCGTCTAACGTCCTCAACTCGGAGAGGCCAGGTTTCACAAGCATAGAGCAGAACTGCTCTCACCGACGCGTTGTAGATTCGACCTTTTACAGCCAGACTAACATCACGAAGGCGCCAAAGGTGGCCCAGATTGGCATAAGCCGCTCTGGCTTTCACTATTCGTGCATTGATCTCATCACTCACACCCCCACCAGCACTTATGCAGCTACCCAGATACACGAACTTCTCAACTACGTCTATCTGCTCACTGTCCAGGGTGAGTACAAGATTGGAATCCTGCCAGTCTTGTAGAAGTACTTTGCACTTCGAAGGTGCAAAGCACATACCATACCTACGGACATTGATTGCCAACTGATTAAGTGCGGATTGCATGCCTTGGGCATTATCGCACAGTAAGACAATATCGTCCGCATACTCGAGGTCGATAAGTCTTTCTCCAGGCAACAGATCCACACCACCATTACTTACATTCATCAGAGCTGTTTCCAGAATGTCATCGATGGCAAAGTTGAAGAGGAATGGTGAGATTGGGCAACCCTGCCTAACCCCACTGCTCGAATGGAACAATGGAGAGAGGTGGTTGTATGCCCTCACTCTGCCTGAGGTGTTTTTATACAGGGCTTTTAGGATGTTAATAAACTTCTCAGGCACACCCTTCTTCAATAGACAATCCCAGAGAACAGTCCTATCCAACGAATCGAAGGCAGCCCTGATGTCAAGAAACACTACGATTGTTGGCCTTTGAAAAGTATGGCGGTGTTCTAACATTTGGCGGAGGGTGAAGATATGATCAATACATCCTCGACCAGAACGAAACCCAGCCTGCTCCTCGCGAGTCAATCTTTCTTGGATTTTGAACAACCTACGAAGAATGACGGAAGCCAATAGCTTGGACGCAATCGGAAGTAAACTTATCCCCCGATAGTTGTTACAAGAACGACGTGAACCCTTTTTAAGGATAGGGACAACTATCGACTCATTCCATGACGTTGGTACACTCTCTAGTTCCCAAACCTTTGTAAACAACGTCGTCAATTCCTTAGTCAAAAAGTCACCACCATCTTTAAAAAGAGCCGGAGGTAAGTCATCTGGGCCAGGTGATTTGTAACGCTTCAAGAGTTGGAGTTCCTTGCGGACTTCCTCCTCATTTGGTGGATCAGTCGTCACCGGCCATGGAGGGCAGGACAGTCTGACCGATGTTGCCGGAGCAGCAGGCCAGTTGAACTGCCCTTCGAAAAATTCTGCCCATCGTCCAAGACGTCGATGGATGTTAGTGATTGGCATCCCATCATCCTCGCAGATTGTTTCACTCACACCAGACTTCTTGCTGCCAGTGGCTCGGATGAGCTGGAAGAGCTTCCGGTAGTTACCAGATGCAGCTGCTGCTTCCAGCTCATTAGCACGCATCGACCACCAGGCTTCTCGGTCCTTACGCAAGCTTTGCCCAATTTCCTTAAGTAACATCCTTCGTTTATGGTCAAACTCACGGTCACCCGGAGTAGACCGACGGGCTTCAATGAGTTGTAAGGAACCAGAAGAAACCCAGTGCTTAAAAGCGGGACGTTTCGCAAACCTACAACTGACTGTTCCCGCCATTTTCATGGCGTCATGCAATTGCAACCAATGCTCATCTATACTTTTCGGTGGAGTGGTAGCTAGCCTAGAGGCTAGCTCGGTTCGATACTTACTTGCAACAGAAGTTGCAACCAGCTTGCTAACATCAATCCGTTGATGGCGTTCACTTCGTTGTCCACTGAAAAGTAAGGCAAGATTGGCGCAGACCAAGGCATGGTCAGAGTCCAGATAGGTACTCCAAAAGGAGCGGCAGTCTTGTACACAACCACGCCAGCAGTAGCTGATCGCGATGTGATCAATCTGAGTCCAGGCTTGAGATGCAGAGGGAGGACGCCAGGTGGCACATCGGCGATGACTGTGCCGAAAGTTAGTGCTAACCAGAAACAGGTTGTGGTCTGTGCAAAGTTGCAGTAGACGGTCCCCGTTATCTCACCTGAGACCAACGAGTCCCCATCAGTCACCTAAACGACTCTCTTCTGTGCCTAGACGCCCGACCTGAGCATTCAAGTCTCCGGCTAGTACTACAATATCTGTCGAACGCACTTTCTGGAGAAGAACAGATAACTGGTGGTAAAACTCATCCTTGATTGCATCCGGGCTGCAATCTGTCGGGGCATAGGCGGAGATGATGAAAAGACATCGTTTCTCACGCCGATTTCTTCTCACTTTGATGGAACTTTCTAATCTAACAGCACATAACCGACTGTTAATGGGGATCCAATCGACTAGTGCTGCCTCAGCTCTAGCGCTTAGTGCGACACCAACGCCAGCAAGACCAGACGAAGATGCCACAGGGTCCCCGGATAAGCGCACGTAAAACAAGCTTTTCGAAGCGACAGATGGAGATCGAATTTGTAGTACTTCACCAGAGTATTGAATACGGGTCTCGGATAGATAGCGAACGTCGATATTGAGACTTTCCAAAAACATAGCCAGCCCTATCTGTTGTCCGACCTGCATAAATGTGCGAACGTTGAAGGCAGCCAGTTTGAATGGTGCACGTGGTTTCAGAAAATCTGCTTCAGTCCTCGTATTCGGTGGTAACATACAATTTTCAACCGGACAGTGACTCGAGAACGTTTAGATACAGTCGGATTTCCACCAAAGACGAGCCGCTGTATAAGTATAAAAGAGGGTGAATAATGTGGAAAATAATAATAATAATGATAATAATAACAATAATGACAATAATAGTAGTAATAATAATATTAGTATTAATAATGACAATAATTGTAATGATAATAATCTGAATCAATTGTTTGTTTTTCAAAGCGAGAAAGGTAATTTCCATAGGCATAAAGAGTTCATCAATTTGTGTGTGGGCTGTGATACTGCCCGGGTGCCCAAACCGAAGCAGGTGGTTATCTTAGGGGGCCACTCCCCGAGCCTTTGACCTAAAGGTCTAACCCACAAGGCAGTGGAGCATCGTAAGGAGACGCAGTCCCATGGTAGCCGGTGACCAACGATTGGTTCATACGCCATTCGTTCCCGCAGGATACTGGAGCCCATGTGCACCATTGATTTGGAAACTGGTTAAAGCGCCGGACATTCGCTTTTCGTCCTCTCATTTTCGTAGACAACACCCCCGCCACGAGAAGGCAATGAGTAGGACTTCCCTGGCAGAGGCTGTATACGCGTGGCCGTGTGAGAGTATTTCGAGAGGGAGAGCGGACTCTCCCCACTCTCGGCCGTACCAGGGCATCCATCCTGTCAGATGGAAAACAAGGTTAAAAAGACCAGTCACATTTTTTCGTTGTGACGATCATCTATTGATTAGTATGGTCAGAAAACTGAACAACTCATTATCACAGATTGATGGAAAACGATTAGAAGAAAACATTTAAATTGAATGTTCATCTCGAGCATGTATATTGTCAATAATTCATTGCAGATAATCTAGTTAATATTAGACAATGTTCACAGTCACATCGAGATTTTATAATTGCTTATTCAAATTCATAGAAGCCAATTTGGTTAAGTTTAGTGAGATCAATCAGTTAAACAGATGTGTCTGTTTATCAAAACAAACATGTGTATGTTGATTGCTACTGATTCTTTTGCAACTGTTTATTATTTTGAAGAAATAACAAGTACATGGTTTTTAGAAGGAACAAGAATATACTCTACATTTCAAGAGTCCCGGGGTAAATATAAACTTTGGGATGTAGGTACATCCACCTGACGAGTCCCAGATAGGATGAAACGCGCGTCTTGAACTTCAGCGCTGGCTACTGTCCGTCTCTGCTTACAATCCCCAAAGAATTTTTGAATATCGCACAAGAACACATCTTTTCATGGTAAAGTAGTATTGTATACGTGTAATTTTGAGGAAACAAACAGTGGAAGATGTGATTCTCACGAAGATAACAGAAAACGCATGTAATGTATAATATTTGTTTCTTTAAAGTGCATTTTATTTAGGTTTATAGGTGTCTAACTCAAAAATTCTTGAAAAACAAGTATTCACATTGATTAATGAATACCTCGAAAAAAACCCCAAAGAAAGCATGATATGTTCTAAATTTCTAGCATCTAGTAGGATTGTGATGATATTTATTACTTAAGAATTTCAACTCATGTAAAAAGTTAACTTGGAAATATATACATAAAGTGATGAAGAACAAATTAGCATCACTTACTAGGAGATGTTCGAGTAAATTTATTTTCTGCTGACCAGTTAAATTAACGGACAGCTTTTTGATGAGCTGAAATCCGAAAAAAATAGTTTTTTTTAAAGAAAAAAAGGTAACAAGAGAAACAGTGTGAATTTATCGAGTGTATAAGTACAAGTTTATGTACTCAGCTTTGAACTATAACTTTCCGTGGTATGAGGGAGTAGTCAATCAAAGTGAAGTAGATGTAGCGGGTTACGAACTAGATAACTATCATAATTAAGATTTGATATTATGTTAATTAATATCAGCTTATTCATGATGGTTTAAAGAAAATTATAACTTGAGATAAACAACCAATACACACTTTTTTAAATATACAGTTGATTAACTGATTAAGCGTCAGTAAAACTCGATAAAACAACTAATGGATTTACACTGAACAGAAAGACGAGACTACAATTGGGAATAAATTCGACAAGAAACCAAATACAATTTCAAATAGAAAGTACAAACTTAGGAAATAAAATTTTTAAGATGCAAGGAAACAAAATGAGCTAACGAATTTATTAAATTGTCAACAACTATGAGTCCGAACACTCGATCGATTTTCCATTACTGATTTCAGCTACAGAAATCATTTTATTGAACAATCAAATCATTATTAATAACCAATTATCTGCAGCCAAATAGAACAAGAAAACTGGCATTACTCCTAGATCAAGAATAATGAAATAAATTGTCAGCTACTTATTAAATGAAATGAAGTTATTAGATATTTACATACTGAGTAAATATAACATGACGGGAAAAGATAAAATGGTCGTGTAAATCAAATAATTGAAACTTAAAGTTACAATAATAACCAATGAAAAATAGGTAATATATGACTTCAGCAATATCATTTAACATAATTTTTGATTGTAACTTTCGTATCGAATACCAAATGGTGAAAATGTGGCCATAGAAATAAAATTTGGTAAGTAAAGGCAGTGGAATTAACGAATGCGGTCATGTGTCCTAGACATTTATTTAAATAAATTCACCAATGATTATAATACAGAGTTCTTTGATTCCCGACTTAATTAATGAAATAAAATTTTACACGAAATGAAGGCTCACTCGATTTTCATACATGACTTGGTTTTTTGAGGGGTGTTCTGTTGATTTGATGCTTTTGCGTAGCTTCACGACGTAATTATTTTATTGTGCACATTCGTTTATTCGAGTTTTTGCATATAGGCAAATGATACAGTTTGACGTATAATAAACTGACGGCTTTGAGTTAACCAATCAAAATCAAGATAATTCTTCATGTACCTTGCATGAAATTCCAAGTCCAATGATGGATAGCTTGAATGTTGTTATTAGGTAGATGAAAATTGACAATAATTGATTCGTGAAATGCTCGGAATCAATTAAACAACCAAAGTGTGAATTTACGATGGTGCTTAACCTAAATGACAAAACATGCCTGGCAGATTGTGTACTCAATGCGTAGTCAAGAACGTTTAGTGACGCTAGGTAATCTACTACTTTTCCAACTCTTTCTCTAAATCTCAACCTTAATTTTCCTAAAGTTTTAAACGGAAGGGTGGGAAAGCATTGCATTATAACTGATGATATTTCCTGATGAAAAACAACAAACCTAAGTTGTAAAGCCAACTCAAAATTCCAGCTTTATCTTTAATACACAACCTCAACCTTTTTAAATTATAACCGATATTATTTGGTGATGAAAACTATGGTGTGATAACCGTAATTTATAATGTTATCCCGACTAATAATGTGTAGACTTGACCTTTCTTTTTTAACACAAAAACAATTTGTCATGTGGGGGGTAAATAAGTCAGACTAAAGCCATTATTCCATTGTTTTCTGGTTAACCAAGCGTTCCCTGATTCGCTGACAAGTCACCCAAGGTCACCAGTATAGTTGTGCCATATATATATATATATATATATATATATATATATATATATATATATATATGCCATCGTTAGCACATCGTATTTAATTCGAAAGATTTTACAGAGAAGATCAAATCAGAAGGTATAACTTTGGCGGATGAAGTGAAAGTATCTATATTTATGCTACTACGTAGTGTGAATAATCTTGCTTCACAAATTATCATTATTAAATCAGTGCAAACCGTTTAATCATTTGCTAATTCGGATTTTAGATCGATAAAAATGTTAACAAGGAGTTATATTCTTGTCAACTAATAAGTCTTCATCGCCGAATGATTGGTGCTGTCTTTTAATTTTCTTTGACTGAGCGAAACATACAATACTAGGGAAACAATGGAATTTCGGTGTTTAAAGCAATTCCTATTATTCTGCTTTGCTTACACAGAATAACACTAGTAAGGGATAAAGTGAGATATAATGATACGTCTTAGTTTTATTTGGGAACTACATAGGTATAGTGACTGTCGGTACCAAGAGAATGTTAAGGATTCCATTAAACCAGTATGTCAGCTTTCTAAACACAGTACCGATTTTAATGATTAACTTGTGATAAAGTAATTTAAAAAAACTAGCGAATTTAGGTGGAAGCATGAAAGTAAAAAATAGAATGAAACAACTATACGATAATTCCTGATGTCCAATGATCAGTCCGTTGATTTTAAAACCTTAAGAGAACCTTGATGAAACAATTCTTGTCAAGAAAAAAAATGGACGTGGTATTAAGAGAAGGTACAAAAAACATGAAATTCAAATGAACAGTTGACATGTTAGGGACTTGAAACAACATCGTTATTCAGAGAAGTGAAATGAAAGCTCAAACTGTACAAACGAAAACATGAAAATAAAATGATCTTTCTACATTTTAAAGACTATTGATGACTGATGTATAAATTGAATTTAATAACTACAGTTATGTGACGATAGCTTAAGTGAAAACTATTAAGAGAAGCGTCAAAATTATGTTCTGCCTTTTTTAAAGACGAAACACTAGATAAAACTGGAAATCAGTGAGAGCAAAGTTGACTTTTTTCACAACATCTGAATTTCTATACAATCTGTGGATAATGTTCCGTGGATCTGAGTTACAATATGATAACGAGAATCCAACTCAGCAAGCAGATGCATATTTGTTTATTTCGTTTTCGCAAGGCCTAAAAACGATGTAATGATGGTAAGTTTTACAACTTAAATTCAATAAATGAATGCACTAGATTCCATATTGTTGTACACATAAAATAACATTTTCTTTTCAAATGCATGATAAACATATTTGTTTTAAGTCAAACTTTTATTTAAGAAATAAAAACTCTCACCTCTAAAACTTGATGGGGTTTTAAATTAGCTGCTAGATTGTGAGAAAGTATTGATACAAGCGCACTGAAAGTAACGAAATATGTATAAAACGTTAATCTAGGAAATATATACCTATTGAAATATCTGTATGTATGATTTGAAAAAAATTAATTTAATTCGAGATGACTTGGGTTATCTCGCTCTTGATACTTTTCTTATTCAAATTTCATTAGTATTCGTTGCTCCCAAATGTCCTGGTATGGACGAGAGGGAAGAGTTCGATCTGCCCCCCCCCCCTCGAAATGCACTCGCATGACCACGTAGATACAACCACTGCTACGGAAGTCTTACTCACTGCCTTCTCAAGACAGGGGTGTTGTTTACGAAATTGAGTGAACGGAAAGCGAATATCCGGTGCTTTAACCGGATTGGTGGATATGCAGGATCCGCCTAGAAAAATCGGAAAACCGTGATTCCAAATCAATGGTGCACATGGGCTACAGTGTCCTGAGGGAACAAATGACGCTTGGATTTTCTGTTGGTCACCGGCTACCATGCGACTGCATTTCTTTTCGTTGTTCCACTGCCTTGTGTGTTAGACATGTAGGTCAAAGGCTCGTGGAGTGGCCCCCTAAGAAAACCACCTGCTTCGGCTTGGGTGCCCAAAAAATATTCCAGCTTTCAAACAAATCGAATGGCAAAGTGTGATGCCACATTGTACCAATGTTTGTGTGTTTAAATAAATAAATAATGGCATAGGGGTATCCTGTGTGGATTGCTTTGATATAGCTAATACGACATGTTAGTATAGAATAGGTGTAATGTAGCCAGCAGAGGAATTTAGGACGCACGTTTCGTCCTATCTGAAACTCATCAGGTGGATGTAACTGCATCCCAGAATTGATGTTCATTCTGCAACTCGAGTGCAGTGCTGTTTGCTTCAAACTTCATCACGTTATCCACTTAACTACTGAGTTTAGACAGTCACTTACTCGTACAACGGGTATGAGATTCAGTTTAACTTGAAATGGTTTGGGTCATTCCGTTGTTGATACTTTTGACTGAAATTTGATCAACCTTAGTCGGATAATGTGGTGGTATCCGAAGCAAAAAGTACTGGTTTCGAGTGCCGGAGTGAACATCAATTCTGGGATGCAGGTACATTCACCAGATGAGTCCCAAGTAGGATGAAACAAGCGTTCTAAATCCCACTGATAACCATATTCTATCCATTCTATTTAAGAGATTATTGTAAGACAGTAATTCATACTCAAGTAGAAAGGTTCTACTTCCTAACAACACATTATTTTATCCATGAATACGAAAATAATTAAAAAGTCTCATAGTAGTTAAAGTTTTGATTTTTGTTTAGTGTAGTAATTAGTTTACACACAACTTGTTTATGATACCTTTGATCTCATATGAATGGATTATAATGTAATGGTTTAACTAACAGCTTATTTTTCGATTTAATGTATGATTGAAGTTAAACTTGTACAATCATTTCAGATGCGATGTCATGTGTTCAAATAAATGTCACTTAGATTATATCAAACATATGTGTAATGATTAAAAACAATAGCTATTCCAAAATCGGAGATCAAGAATGATTTAAAACACTGGAAGTGAGATCAAGATTACGAGTCTAGTCTCAAATTTATTGTACGCGAATCACTGCAGAATCCTGGTGTAAAAAAGACCAAAATACCAAGGTGTTCCACGATGCGGAAAAATATGGAAGTATTACCGAATGGTTTGACATTACTCCTAATTAATTATAAATTCTTGAACACATACCATATAACATGAATCCCATATAGGCTTATCTATATGCGTGGACTATTTTAGCATGAAGATGTGTACAAGCACGTTAGGGTAATTCCCAGAAATTATTCAAATATATTGTAATGGTCATAAAACGTTTCAAAAGTTTTATTAATAAATGGTAGTTAACATGCTTTGCTAACTAGAATAATGATATGTATTTCTTTAAATGCTCATTGAATATCAAAATGTTGATAGTATTTGAAAATGATCGATCTCCAAACAATTCAAAAATTAAAGGCGTACATTTTAAAATGACTATTTTCTAAATAGAAGAGTACACTGGTTTTATTCGATGAAATGTGACTCAATCATACCCCTTGATAAGGATATTTAAAAATGGAGTTTGAAAGCAGAATAATATATTTTGTCTTGTTTAACTGCCAACAAACAATTATATAAAATATGTGTATTAAAAACCAACAGTAGACTTTCGACTTCGATTTTGTGCTTATTGTAGTCTTTTGATAAAGAGTCAGAAACCCTAATCAGAAAAAAATATTTGAAAATCCAAACTTATATTATTAAGTACTGAAGTTAAACAAGCTATGTTTTAACAAAGAGGTCTCTAACGATCTAAAGTAATCAGTCACCATCAGCCAAGGATCTGGCACAAATTTGTATCGAAATTCTAATAAAGACACTACACCACACAGTGGAATTAAAACTTACTCAGAACTGAACGGGATTGTGGGACCATTTTCTGACTTCATTTTTACTGTAGAAAACAAATAAATCTTTTTAATCTCTGAAGCAAGACAATTTAAAACTGATACGAAGCACTTAGCGACTGCACACAAATGTATAAAAAAAACGAAAGAAATTTTAAAATCGTGGACTCTTAAGTAGATTTTAGCGTTTACTAAAACCATGCTACCCAACTTTTCAAATCAAAAATATAGCAGATCATAAACTCAAGTTACGAAATTTGGCAGTTCAGGAATCTGGCAGAAAAACAGGAATCCTGAGAAAAGTAGGTGCGATATAATTTTTATACAATATTAGTCGCGATAATCCTGAAAAAGGTAGCTCAGGACTAATACACAGAGACAACGTACTGCCAGGAAAATAAGCTGCTCCAAAAAATTTTTTGTATTTGATAGATGGCTATATGATAATAGCTGCATATATTGCAAGAGAGATAGCTAATGATTAGTTAATACTGCACAATCATACAAGATAGTCTGACGATAAAACTCAAGGCGACGAACCCATTTGCTTGATAAACTTTTTGACAGTTCGGAAACTGTAATACGGTCAATGAGGATTAAACGATTAGGACTGAACTCACTGTGATACCCTTTATTTCAATGAAGTTAAACTTCCTAAGTACTAATCTGAAGCAGAATCTTTATAACTAGTAGTTTTGCAATATGGACCGGAGTCAAACGAGGCTGCCTACTCTCCCTCTTTCTAGTGGTTGACTAGATTACGAAGACCTCGACATCCGACAAAAAGTACGGAATACAGTGGACAGGTTTGATGCAACTAGACGACTTGAACTTTGCAGATGACCTAACCCTTCTATCCTAAACACACCAACAAATGCAGGTCAAGACAAACAGTGTAGCAGAAACCTGTGTCAGTAGGCCTCAACATACATAGGGGAAAAAGCAAGATTCTCAAATACAAAACGGAGAACACCAAGCCAATCTCACTTGATGGAAAAGCTATGACAGATGTTGAATGTCTCACCTACCTGGGAAGCATAATCGATGAACAAGGAGGACCGGACGCAGACATAAATGTGAGGATTGGCAAAACAAGGGCCGAATTCCTACAATTGAAGAACATATGTAACTCAAAACAAATGTCAACCAACATCAGTCAGAATCTTTAATACGAATGTCAAGACAGTTCTGTTGTACGGACCTGAAACTTGGAGAACTACTACAACCATCATCAAAAGAGTACAAGTATTCATAAACAGTTGTCTAAACAAGATTCTCAATGTCATTTGGCCAGACACCACCAGTGACAGACTACCGTGATAGGGAACAAACCAGATTCTACCTGAAGAGCGAAAGACGCTGGAAGTAAATTAGGACATATATTGAAGAAACCATCAAACTGCATAACGACGCAAGCGCTGAATTGGAATCGCGAAGGGAAACCGAAAAGAGGAAGGCCAAAGAACATACTGTGTCAAGAATTGGAAGCATACATGAAAAGTATGAAGAGCAACTGGAAAGGATTGCTCGGGACAAAGTTGGGTAGAGAATGCTGGTGAGCGGCCTGTGCTCCTCGAAAAAAAGGTACATGCGTAGGGAAGTAATTTTTGCAATATATAACTGAATGGTATTCAATAACAGATGAGTTGCGAAAGAAGTAACTTATTACTTTGATACTGATCTTATTTTGCTATTAAAACGAAGAAACTTTATCACGAAACTGAGAATATTAGAAATTAAGGGTTTACACCAGACGATGATCTGTAAAGCCGAAAGCTGAAACGTAAATGTTGTAATCAATAAGTTAAAGTTTAAACACTTACATTCATAATTTTTGATAAGCTACACACCAATCGACATGCAAAAGCCGATTTAGGCGTTCCATAAACGGAACGATTGAAAATCAACTATCTGTATATTATATACAAATATTTGGAAACCACTTCATAGCTCTTGAAAACTGTAGGAAATGATGAATTTCACAAACTAATCCTAGACAGCAGCTTACGTATTTCATGCTCAAGAAAATGGGACAAAATAACACCCAGCAATTCCATAAGTAGTACACCTTTGGTGAAAACCAACTGTATCCTCATGTATCACATCAAACGACGAATAAAGTTTTCAAATAATAATAAACACTGATTCGCAACTAACAATCAATAGGATGAAAACGGCAAAATCTACATCAAAAACGAAAAGACTACAGAGTGCATCTTTTTGAAATTAGCCGAGGATTTTTAGGTCAAATCATGTTTTGTGGGTATGTTCATGAACATAAGGTTCATGGGACACACAACAGCTAACAAGTAGCTTACTTGTGAATCAGAGTTGGGGACTGATCATAAGGTTACCAAGATCATATGTCTTATAGTTTGTCGGAAACTAAACGATATAACCAACACAAAGATTGAAAGTACGAGAGCAGAACACATAACTCAGCGGTATTTCTCCAAACAAGTATCTCCATACACCAAGCGTTGAATGCAGGAACTGGTATAAATTTATTTGGGAAGTACTGTGTTAATCGGAGAACTGATCAAATTATGGAAGGGGATTCCTACTTTTCAACTGGTAACAATCACCAGTGTCAACTAAGTTACACTGTTTGATCATTCTGATTGGTAAATGACTTCAGGTGACTAATAATACTCAGGGCTTTACTTAGGAATCTATGCTGGACATGAGAAACCGAAAGTGCGTATAACGACCTATATGGGAATACATGTCCGTAGCATAAAGTATCAATATGAAATGAGTTACATTCATCACCGGGATAATCACGTATAAGATGCGATTCAGTGCATAACTAGAGCGTCAGGTGGCTAGCCGTCTGGTTTTCGAGATGCGTCCGCGATGACCCTACATCAGAAGTGGTCATTTAACTGTTATATCGGTCAAATTTTTACAAATTTAGCAGTCAGTTTGCCTAATTTGAAAGGTCAACTTTGCCCCCACTGTCTCTATGAATGTACTAATTAACGAGACATTACATGAAAGTCTTTCTCTTGGGGCAAAAGTAAACTTTCATCCGGAACTAACTCACTGTTCCTCACCATTTTCCCTTTTTGCATTCATTTCACAATCGATAAATGACAGAAAGGTAAAAAAGCTTTCATCAGGTGGAATACACTCACCGATACATACGATTGAAAAATTTGTTGATGCTTGACTTTGAAGTCAAGGGAATCTAATAACTGCAATTATGAAAAAAAGTGTACTACAGCCGTACATTCTGCGCGTTTGATGGACAAACATGTAACTCAAGGTTACTTCAGTTACCAAATTAAACGACACAAAGACTTCAGCAATATGAGGGTACCTATACAAATCTTGTTCGCAAATTATTTCGTTATTAGTTTTATAGTTTCTAATTCACTCGATTTATAAAAAAACATGATTTAAAACTGTAGTGCGACACTGATAAGACGTTGATGACATTCAGACGTATCGCCATAATGTATTTGTTTTTAACTGTACTACAAATGTGTCTGGGGATGATTTAGATAACAAACGCGTGTCTCACTCGTAAGAACGTACTTCCTCATGGATTGCGCAGGATAAAGTTACGCAATATTTGTATTGTAGTGGTGGTGAAATGCCACGGCGCTTGCCAATTCGGACAGCAGTCAGGTCGTTGAGTACCAAACCATTTATCGCTCCTCGTTAATGTCAAAGACGATCGACGCCCGTCAATTATTTTGACACCGTGAACTGGCATATGCGAAAGTGGTCTCACTTTATTTCTTCTGCCAACTCTTACTAAGTTATTCTTGTAATGAAGTTCTTTATGTTGTATGCTAGTTAACGTAACAATCACACAAACATACAACGGAAGCGTAATCCAGTTTTGGTATTAACAGTGAGTAGTGATGTCTATGGAAGCTGGTTGTTTGCACCTTATCCGTTCAGTTCCAATAGGCCCTGAAAGGCTGACATCTATGTTGGTGTTATTTCAAAACTACTACAGAGTAAATAAACATCACTATGTAGCGGTAAATAAATCCCCAAAATAAATAGCTCTCTAAGTTTTCGACATTGGATGCAGACCACATTTTTTAGTGGACTCATCTAGCTGAAGGCGCTCGGTCATGCATCCGCACCTGGTCACGTGTGGTAACGCTGTGCTCAACATTTACCGCAATCGCTAGCCAGATTAGATCAGAGAATTCCGATATATTGGTTTTACGCCAAATACACTCTTCCGATCTCCTCGACTCTGTCTTTCGATTTCTCTCAGTGAGTACAAATTATATTAGAAGGTGTTGCTGGTAAAAGCGTTGTCAGACACTGAATACCTGTGTGATATTCAACTTTTTAATATGGTGGGGGCAGTGAAATGTCACCGAACCAGAGCCAAATCATCCGGCAGTTGAGTGACCGAATACCGAACACATCATCGATCCCCGTCAAAGTCAAGAACAACGAACCAGTCAGTCGTACGCCATGGTTGGCTCATGCGCTGGTGGTCACAATTTCGCTTGTCCTTGTTCTTATTATTATATATTTCCGTAATAACCTCTCTTGTGTTGCACAGTATTCAAAAAAGCGATAGAATTTTGATACGTTGAGGGGGAAATCTACGTTACATGCTGATCGCGGCGTGTGAGCTCGAAGTTAAGTGTTGGTCTCATCTACCCCATCTAACTCGAACAGGCTTTCAATCATTTGGACATAGATCATCTACTCAGGTGATCTACAGTATGTTCGCATGTGTGTGATTATGTTATTTCGTTGAAAAAAGCAACAAAAACATATTAACAAAATACATGTACACCAGTTTACTCTTCCGTTTTCGGCCATTTTGTGTCCTTGCGCAAGTATGGGTATATTTCGATTTCAACGCACAATTTCGTTCTTTCTTTGTCTGGACGGCTGAGAAATATGGAAAACCAAAGAAAATTACGGAGAAGCGAAATTTTCACTGTGTCTGTGTCTCATTACTATATTGTACCACATAGCTCTTTATAGTAAGGAAAGAGGACTACAAGATGCTGAACATGGCAAGCTTTACGAAAGACAAAGGCACTGGGCTTAAACTAATGACTGGCAATGTTTTTGGATCGTCGCTATCACACTATTGAGGAAGTAATCTGAACAAAAAGCTCGAACTTCCTAGAATAGAGCCTTTGACGGTCACCCGGCTCACTCGAGGAAAGGATTCTAAGCATCTAAATCACCCGAGGCTTCTCCGAGTAACACTTAAGAATGCTACCGACGTAGAGGACGTCTTGCTAGCAAGTCACTTACTGAAATCAGATGGTAACGTAAGAATATTGCCCGACATACCGTACTCTGAGCGCAATATCATACGAAACGTCCCTAAAGAATCTCGCGAGAAGTTCTTCCGCGGAAGAAACATAATTGTCCAAGGTATACCGGAAAATGCAGACCCTACTCAATCAAATTCTGACATCAGGGAATGGAAATTCATCAAACAGTCCTTGAGGCTCAAACACATACTGACTCAGCATGTGACGAGACTAGCCAAGAAGGACGGCGATCTTAGACCCCGTCTAATGAAGATAACCTTCCCATCTTCCCACATGGTGGCTGCAGTTCTGGAAGCATTTCGTGCTAATAGACGTCGATTGCCACCTGGAATTCACATGCACCCGGATAGGCCATACGAAGTTAGGACCAAGAACAAAGGCAAGTTGGAGCTGACCATTCCACTTGTGGACTGTCTAAACGATAAAAAAGACGTGTAAAGGACAGGGCCTACCGCCTCGGCAAACCTCATATAGGTGGGCTACCTGTCCATTCACATAAGGTTCATACAGAAAAACAGGACGAAGCTCATGCGTTCCAAATTGAAAGCATAAACTGCTTATATACGAACGCCGCGAGTTTACCAAACAAACTGGATGAACTACGTGAACTTAGCAACGCTAGCAAGGCCCATCTGATAGGAATATCTGAAACCTGGATATCTTCTCAGTTCTCGGATCAAGAGTTAGCATTACCTGGGATGACTTTGTTCAGCTACGACAGAAAAATAGGAATTGGGGGCGGAGTAGCCATATACATAAGCTCTTGCTTGGAGGTGCACCAGGTTCACAACCTCGAGTTTAACAATCTTGAGGAATCCATATGGTGCTCTGTAAGGTTGTCTAGTACTTCCAGGTGTCTAGTCGGAGTCATTTACAGGAAGCCAACTGCCGACACCGAGTACGATAGTCGTATGCTGGAAGGACTATCCCGCTCTATCCGTCTCGGTTTCACACACATCCTGATTCTAGGGGACTTTAATCTCCCTAGAGTCAACTTCGCGGAACACACGTACACTGGAGGCGACAACTCAACTGAAGCTCGGTTCTTCAACCTCATCGATAACTTGGGCTTATATGAAAATGTGAGGTCGGCAACTCGTTGGAGAAACAGTCAGACACCATCGCGCTTAGACTGTGTATTCACTAACGAAGAATTCCTAGTCGACAACCTCTCAATCCTGGCTCCTCTGGGAAAAAGCGATCATGCCGTCATAGCCTTCAGTTTTGTCATCAAAACTAAGCTAAGGTATCCCAACAATAATTTGCGATGGAATTTTAAACGGCTGAATGTGCGAGCTCTACATGACCATCTACAACAGGTGGCTTGGGATGTTCACCCTCAAATCGATGTGGATGGTCATTGGGACTTCTTGCTGCACACGCTCTTACGTGCTACAGACCATTCAGTTCCTTAAACGGTTCCCAAAAGCTTCAAGCCACCTACAGTAATCAAGAACCGTACCCTTCGCCTCCTAAGCCGCAAACGGCACTGTTGGGCGGAATACAAACGAACTAATAACGATGGAGCGTATAGGCAATACAAACATATCAGGAACACATGCACGAAGGCTATAAGAGAAGACAGGCTTCAGTACCAAACAAAGCTTATGGACAAATTCTCCTCTAACCCTAGAAGCCTATTCCGTTATGCAGCCTCAGTTCGTCAAGCCAAAACAGGAGTTTCTCAACTGCTAGGTCTTAATGGCCCGACCAACAATGATGGCGACGCCGCTAACCTTCTGGCTGAACATTACTCTCAGACATTTCAGCCAACCGACATTAACTTTACTGATGACAGTTTCGTTTGTAATTCCACAGAACTTTCCGAAGTGAACCTAAGCGCTGACTTGCTGTTCCGGAAACTGCAGCACCGGCTGACATCAACTTTATCGACGACAGTTTCATCTGCAATTCCACAGGACTTTCTGAAGTGGACCTAAGCGCTGACTTGGTGTTCCGGAAACTGCAGCACTTAAGACTTGACACTTCTCCTGGCCCGGATATGGTTCATCCTGCCATACTGAGAGAGGCAGCCTCAATCCTGTCAACGCCGCTTAGCGTGATGTTTTCACACTCGCTTAGCCGAGGCAAACTACCGGAAAATTGGAAGTTGGCTCACATCACACCAATTTTCAAAGGTGGTCGACGCAATGAACCTTCAAGTTACCGGCCGGTAGCTCTTCTGTCGTTACCTTCAAAACTCATGGAGTCCCTGATATGCGACGGTTTAAATGACTACCTACTGTCCTTAAATTTCTTCTCACCCCAACAGCATGGTTTCAGGAAGGGTTACTCTTGTATAACCAACCTGCTGACTGCGGTGGACAGATGGACAAACATCCTCGATCGCAAGGGAAAGGTTGATGTCATTTACCTTGATTTCTCAAAAGCTTTTGATAAGGTTAACCACTTATGTCTTATCAACAAGCTCAAATGACTAGGTATCAAACCACCTCTAATCGACTGGCTTACTTCATACCTAAAAATCGACACTTTAAGGTTAGGGTTAATTTCACTTTATCTCAGGCTATGGAATGTCCTAGTGGGGTCCCCCAGGGCTCAGTACTAGAGCCTCTTCTCTTCTTGATCTACATAAATGATCTTCCTCAACAGGTAACGTCAGACTTATTACTTTTTGCCGACGACGTGAAACTTTGGAGAGAGATACGCAACCAAGACGATATACAGGCACTTCAAGAGGATCTGACTCGACTTCATAGTTGGGCAGACGATAACGGACTTACCTTTAACACTTCTAAGTGTAAAGTAGTCCATCTGCGACATGTCGCAAACTACAGTTACAACTTAGGAAACTCCTCTCTAGTAGTATCCCAAGTCGAAAAAGATTTAGGAGTCCTGGTGCCCCATGACTTAAAGTCTTACGCTAACTGTGACAAAAATGCCTTCCGAGCAAACCTTGCACTGGTAACGTTGAGGCGCATTTTTGGCCAGTTTGACGGAAGAACTTTCCACACAATCTTCAATAGTTTCATCCGTCCCCATTTAGAGTACGGAAACATAATACTCCCCCCTCACTCCAAAAGGATAAGGTCACTTTGGAGCGTATCCAACGGCGAGCCACGAAATCAGTTCGAGGACTCAAATCTAAGCCTTACGAAGAACGCCTCCGTTCACTAGACCTTTACCCACTAGAATATAGGCGTCTTAGAGGTGATTTATTAATGGCTTATAGTATTCTTAACACTTCTGGACATCCTCTTAAACACCTACTTAAGCTTAGTTCGAACAATAACCTAAGGGGTAACACCCAGAAACTGGAAACACAACATAGCAAGACGGAATGTAGACACAACTTCTACTCCTTAAGAGTTGTCAAAAGCTGGAACTCGCTGCCGGCCGAGCTAGTCCAAGCGACTTCTCAGGAGTCCTTCAAGAGGCAACTTGACCTATTCTTAAGGACCAAGGACAGCATCGCACTATGATTTACCAATTTCTTTTCCTCTTTTATTGTTAACATACCTAGGTTCCTGCCTGGAGGATTTGGTGATCCCCTGCTACTAGACACGGAAGCCTGTTAAGCGAAAGCTTCTTCTATTCCGTCCACAACCATTTGAACCATTTGAACCTCTCCCCAAAAAATGGTTCTTCAAGTATTCGGCATTGACACTAACCTCTTCTGTTTTAATGGACACACAAGTTAGGGCGATTTGTCACATATCCGCACCGGCTCACGAGTGACTACGATGCGGTACACATGACTGTCATTTATTAGCCCCCACAGATATACGTTCAGTTGACCTTCCGATAGTCTTTCAAATATATCTTCGAACCCCTCCATCTCCTACTTCAGATTTGACTTGTTTGGCATACTTCAGTTATTAAGGTATTGCTGGTTAAAGAGTTGTCGATACTTGTGTCATCTCAATATTCGTTCTGAAAGGCCTTTCACAGTTGAACTTGATTATACAATCACTGTATTCGTGTTTAACACAGACGCAACTCATCTTTTTCGTTCCAGTTGAATCTTCATTTGTGCAAATAGAGTAAGTTGGCTAACGAGTTGAACAAATCATCGTTATTTGCTTTACTTGTAGCACCTGCCTACCGTTACCGTCTTTCCAGTAGTTCTCCTTTTCGATTTTTCGGTATTTCGTCTGATCTCACATCATCTTGTAGCCCGATCGAGCCCCAACAAAACCGTCGTGGGACTGTAGGGTAAAATTATAGCCTAGGATTGGGACGATTATTTATTTTAACACCTCAACAGACTGCATCAGTGTGAGGATACCCTAAAATCACTCAGTACAATGACATAATGAATTCACAGAAATTGAAACACGAAATGTTCACCGCATATCATGTGTTCAGGGTCGTCGAACAAAACGGCGGGCGATTCTGGGTAGACCTTGAGTTTTATTGTGCTGTTCACGTAAATGTCGTGTAGACATGCAAGGTTCGTTCGTGTTTCGTTTTGAATTACTTCGCAATTAGTTTTTCTCAAGAATGTTCACCTGATGCACACTTCGCTTTTTTTCATTAGAGTCCATAATCAGAAGATAAAGTCATTTTTTTTATAAATTTCACTCGGTATAACGTCACAGTAGCAAATTTCAGCATGATTGGAATACACACCAAAATTCTAACACCTTGGCTAGAATGGTTGTCGGTTGGCCAGGGAATATCTTAACGATGGGTTTGTTCACTGGTCAGGTTTGCAAATAAATGTAGGTACGTTGGCTATGTAGTTGGAAACTACCTGCAGCATTTTGTTTTATCTTAATTCAAGTTACTCAGTACATCTTAGTGACATCGTTTATAGCTGTTACTCCAGTAGCAATCTTAATGGTCCTATGTAATTTGCAAGTTCCGGAAATGTCCCATTTACTTACTTTTATATCCCGGAATTTGATAAGATGGTCAACTCGTCTTATTTTCAAGCTAAATTATCATTAACATGTTTAATGGTACATAATGTCTCTACAACAACAAAGTTGATTTTTCTGATCAGTTTAAAGCTGACTAACGAAGGCCGTCTGTAGTGTTTTAAGTGATCCGATCTTAATCTTATTCGTGCAGTACATATCGTAATTCATTCACTTCATTTCGTTTGTGATCTTTAACTGTAGTAGACTTTTATTGGTCTAGATTTGACAGGGGTCGGTATTAGGTGTTCTTCTTATCCAGTATACGACCACTAGAAACAATGGAATATTTCATTGCTGTCCATTGTAATTAATTAGACTAAGTTATCACCAATGGCACAATTGCCACTGTTTATCAAGGTATTTTGCCTCTGTATACTGATATTTGTTTGTTAAGTTTTACAAAGCTTTCCGTTAATTACAATGAGTCATTTACTGCAAATGAGTCTTGTTCTAATGGGACGTCAAATTAAATTTATCCACTGAAAACATATTCGATGGAAAATTATAGAATTGATTTAAGCTTTGTTTCACACTACACTTCAAGCTTATTGCCGGCGAAACTCTAATTTAGGGACGAGCCAATCAGAAGCGTTTGAGCAATTTCAATTACTTGCCAACCAGAAGACAGTATAAAGTAAAAATATATTATAAGAAACTAATGAATTACAGTGGATATTCTTCTTTTACATGATTTAAAAGCTTGTTAAGCTTCGATAAAGGTTCAGATGTTCTGAATTCATAATGCATACGTTATAGAAACTCGTCCATAGGGTTAGGGTTAGGGTTTTAGTCTCTCAATAAACACCTCTGCTCTAAAATCCGCTATAAACCGATCGTATGTTAGCATCACGTGTTGAACTTGGCTCCCTGACCTTGAAATTGCTCAAACGCTTCTTTTTGGCTCGTCCCTAAACTGGAATCTCGCCACCCTAACCCTATGGACGGGTTTGTATACCGTATGCATTATGAATTCAGAACCTCTGAACCTTTATCAAACCTTAACAAGTTTTTAAATCATGTAAAAGAAGAATATCCACTGTAATTCATTAGTTTCTTATAATATATTTTTACTTTATACTGTCCCCTGATTGGCTAATAATTCTCAAGGTCGTTTAAGATTCGTTCAAGGTTCGTCCCTAAATTAGAGTCTCACCAAATCAGCAAAGGAGAAGTAGACTACTTACTTTTCAACAACTTAGCTAAATAACCCTTGGAAAATAAGGAATATATGTTGGTCTTAAGTAATGAATCATACGTCCCCTCTTATTGCGTGTGGCAAAGCTATCCAGTACATCATAAGCAACGTAAAGGATAAACAAAGCCGAAGTGCACCGATTCTGACACATGTCACTCAACATCTCCAAACATTATTCGTGATCACTGCGCTAATACCAACCGGCTTAACCACCCACCCATACAATCCACTAGAGGTGTCTATAAACTCATAGACTGACGCCGCATTTCGCTGAATTCTCTTTTTCTTATTCAGTGACATTATGGGTTATTTTAATTATCCTACACTATTATTATTATTATTATTATTATTATTATTATTATTATTATTATTATTATTATTATTTGAACACATAGATATTGGTACAAGCAGGCACCAAATACATATGCGCCAAACAAATCACATTTGATATGTGTGAGGACTGTGATACTGCTCGGGTGCCCAAACTGAAGCAGGACTCACATTTCTACACTAAGTCGTTTATGATTGTGTAACACATCAACTAACTCGCCATATTTATCTATCACCGTTCGTCTAACCTCGACGTTGCTTCTTTGATGGTACCAGCGTACGTGATCACTGTCTTAAGTACATGTGATCAAGTACTAGCAACCTACAAATATCCTCTGTATATAACTTTCAGGTTCTTAGGCGGAATTATAACCAGCTGTTACCGTGGAGATGTACGTAACTTCATTCTACATGTTTGTCTCAGACCGTTAACAGCTTTTTGAAAAATACCTGCTTTCACTTGATGCTTGGGGAACTAGTGGTTAAAGCTTTCAACTTTCATTTACTGAACCACTGGTTCGAATTTCGCTCTAGCTACTTTGCTTTGGGCAACTGAGTAGTATCATTAGGTCTTACACTTGGAAGGTGGCTCACATCCAGTCAGTCAGCTACAACGTAGCTGAGTGAATTAATATGTTTTTATTTATTCATTCCTCATAATTCTCACATATCAAGATATTTCAATGTGATAAATATGGATGTTCTGACAAATGAACACTTTGGTAAGTCACAAGTACATTATTATGAACTATGACCATGAATTTAAGTTGCCTTGTACTTCCATTTAGCTGTTGTTAGGGCACTGAGGTTGTAATCATTATATCGCTAGTCCATCAATCACAGCGTAGAACCTGGCGCGAATGTACATCGGTACAAGTTTCCACAATACATTAGCACAGATAGATTAAATTATCAAACCGAATTCCATAGTATTAACAGTATCGGTAGTGATTCAAAATGCTGTGTCAAAAAAACGATTCAAGAGAATATTAATTAGTGAAATAAAGGAACAATTAAAGTTATGTGGGATTTAAGAGCTCAAAATATGAGGACAATAATGAATGGATATCCGTGCCATTACAAACGATTTCGAACCATATCATTCAAAGTCTAACGATTGGTTACAATCATCATATGGAATCCAACCAGTTAGTCTACATCTATTACCATGAATAGGTCAAATTTTCGATGACCTCATAGACTTACTCCATGTCTTGGTTACATTGCGAGTTCTAACCCTGGTTCACCTTGATGTTTGATTATTCGATAAATACCATTATTTCCCATAAATAAATGGTGCTAAAATGCAAGTACATAAGATTTTACACTGCTTATGATTTATGCAATTTTATTTTCTTGGATTACCATTCACTTTAAAGTAAATTCTGTTTCTTATTCACTTAAGTTTATGCTTTTCAAATAACTCTCGATCTTATTGTCGATCTCTTTGAACTCTTTTATCTGCAGCTTAGATTGTCAACATGAATCTGAAAATCTACGTTACAACCTAACAAAAGCGAATAGTTTTATAGCTGAATTAGAAACAAAACTTAATGATTTACAAATGAAATATGATACTGACTGTTGTAAATATGAAGAGAAGATACAAATCTTAACAGAACGGCACGAAAGGTGAACTATGTTTTTTGTAAACGTTGATACCACTGTAATTACTTTTTGGTGACATTTTTACTTTGTACATAATATCACTGAATTAAACAGAATTAACTTGTGTAATCGCTATCTAAATTGTTTATTAGTCACTATAGTGACAATTGTAAAAGAACGAATAAAACACTATACTTTCAGCAGTTTTATCACGTTTACTTGTTTTGTTCGGAACTTTATCTATTTGCTGTTAGTATTTGTCATCACGTTATGTTATTTAAAGTACTAATGACAACTTCGATTATCTTGGAAGTCTGATCAGCCCTAATGGGTTGGTGTCTGACGAAATCTCAGCACGGATTCGAAAGGCTCGCTTGGCTTTTGCCAACTTACGTCACCTATAGCGAAGGCGAGATATCCGTCTATCAATAAAAGGACGAGTATACTGCGCGGCAGTCCGTTCTGTTTTAATTTACGGCAGCGAAACATGGCCACTAAGAGTAGAAGACACTCGTAAGCTATTAGTATTTGATCACAGATGCCTCAGAGATATTGCCGGCATCTGCTGGGACCACCGGGTAAGTAATAGTGAGGTTAGACGCAGGGTATTAGGGAATGATGGTAAATCAGTTGATGAGGTTGTGAATCTTCATCGACTAAGATGGCTGGGCCACGTGTTACGTATGCCTGAACACCGATTACCATGACGTTCAATGCTAACCGGTGTTCGGGATGGTTGGAAGAAAGTTAGGGGCGGCCAAATCAAAACGTGGCATCAGTGTTTGAAGTCACTAACTTGTAGTCTGAGCCATGTTGGTAGATGCAGACTACTTGGTTGGAGTCCGCGTGACTATCGCAACCAATGGTTGGAGACTCTTGGTGACATGGCTCAGAATCGATCACAGTGGCGTCGGTGTATACACTCTCTATCTTCCTTTAAACTAAGAGATTAAAATTGCTTCATATCTTTCTTTCTACGAACTGATTCTTTCTTGCTGTACTATATCCTTATTGCAGTCTTTCTTTTATATATTACCACCTCTGAATTAACTGCTTTTATGAATCCGGTGTCCATCTTGTTGTGTTAATGAGGTATGGCAACTTGGACTGATGCATATATGTGCCTGGTCCTACGTTGTAGCTGACTGACTGACTAATGAGAAGGATAGAAATAAATAGTAAAATTAATGTTTCAACTACTGGATCTGTTAATTTCGTGTTTAGTTTTATATTGTAGCTTCAGTAGATGGAGATGGTCAACAAATTCCGTTTGCCTTTTATGTGTGTTCATACAATTTCCATGAATGTAGAAATTCACGTTTTATCACTTTACTGTAACTGTAAAATAGAAGGTGATGTAGTTAACCATTTTGAAATATACAATCATATCTCACCAGGAGTAGTACCTCAACATACGACACTGATAAAGGTAGTTTTGGGTATTTCTCCAATTAATATCAATCCATACTGAAGGGTTTCTAAAAGGTTATAACAATTAAAGATTAGATGGTAGCTGAAATTGAATATAGTGCCGCAGATATCATCAGTCTTCATCCTTTCTGAAGCTTGTCATATACTTGTGCTGTACACAATCCTTTGATTCTTCATATCTTTAGTCTTTCTAATGTTTTTGTTTTTATTGCTTTTGTTATGTCTTTGTTCCTTTTGGTTTTTCTTGCTCTGTGATGATTTTGAGCTTAAAAACTAAAACTAATACACCCATTTATCATGTCTTATTTTGTTTATATATGTTTTTTTATAAAAAATAAGAATGTGTGGAATCAAACAACAAAAAAACATAGTGGTAATCCTTGGAAATATTGGTGCTTAAACATTAGTTACTAGGTACCCTGATAAACCTACCCCTTTGTAGGAATTCTATCACTCATCATTGAGGTTTGTTTTATCATGGTCTCAGTTTTATTTTGACTGTATATATCGAAAAACACAAATCTTGTGTGCATAATTCACAACTTTATGGGTAAATACGTATGAACGAGTTGATTATGGGTCAAATAGCACGGAATAGGTTGCTTAAACATCAGAGTTCTAGGTCACTAAGCCATCTCTTTGATGAAAACATTTGATAGGCATTATTTGAGCATTATTTAAACTTAATTTTAATCATCATGCGCAAATCAGTAGGTAATGTTGTTTCCTCCCTTCACGTGAGCTAACACTGTCATGCATAACCAAATATTACGGCCTCTTGGCATTGGGGTACTTTGTTGTCTGCATTGAATATAATAAAAGGCAGTTATTTGGCAATATTCTAGAGGTTGTACTTTAGTTCTGAAGTGTGTATTCTTACTCTTGCACTTTGACTTTCCGCCACTGACCCCGAGTACTTTATGCATTCAATGACCTTTGCTTTTTACATACTGAACACCTAGTCTTTTTTCTATGTTGCTTTGTTCCAGAAATCCCAAGTTTTCTTGTAATATATGATTACAGATATGTTTTACTTTCTAGGGATAGTAGTAGCTTTCTTATAGGTAATCTGTCTCCTTTTTGATTGATCATGGTGTTATGAACCATTGGAAGACTTTTGATTGGCACATCGTCAACTTGCACTATACTCTCACCATTTGGTGTGGGGTTATATCCCATGTAAAGCACGAGACACCTTAAATTGTCATTATGTTTACATAGAAACTCATCATGAACAAATAATTTGTTTGACTGATAGTCTAGATTAAAAGTGGAGAATCGTAGACTTTCTTAATAGAGTTACTAATATTTGATGATTACTGACTGAGTGGTGTATTAATTGTGATTTGCCCATTTATTTTCCCTTTAAATTATCAATATCTAGTTATTTTAGACTTGGTTATTCTTTGGATTTACATGGTGTAAAAGCATCTCTCTGTTGTTTACAAACCAATGAATTGAATGTTCACCTGCTACTTCGTTTCTGTTATTTAATTTTAAAACTTGTACTCTGTGAGGAGTGCATGTGTTTAATCTATCAACTAATTTCAAGTGATATCAACATCACTTTTCGAATGTTGTTTAATCTATGCGTACTTACTTGAAGGTAACTATATTTTTTTCTTCGGGAATGATTTATTTACTACAGTTCTATAAAAAATTCACACAAACGCTATTTTTTGGTAAAATAAGTGAACAACCTCCCCTCATCCTTTGTTTGTAATAAAGCAGGTTGAATAAGCAGACTAGTATATATATATATGTATGTGGTGCTTTTTATACCTCTAAATAAATCAGAATTCATAGCCTCTAGTCCAGTTATCAGGTCAACTTTACTTTATTAAATCATTATTGCTGCTTGTAGTGGGGGTTAAAATATAAGTCTTTATTGTTATAATTATGTTACTTACATTAACATCCTTTTTATTATTGTTAATTGTTTACTTTAAAAAATCACATTATTGACCATTTTGTTTATGAGTAGGTATGATAGTAACTTTCATGAGCTCAATAGGTTATTGTCGTTTAGCAGAAACTAGTAAATTTCACTTAACCAATGATTAAAGTACTAGGTTTATTTTTGCAAACTAGTATGTATTTTATGTATGCTATTTTAGAATCTATTTCAGTACTTCATTTACTGACAAAATAGCTATGAAAAAGTGAATAATTAATCGATGCTAAACATATCATCTAAGTTTAAATGCTTTAGAATCTAGGTTTAAAATTTAACTGATTGTAAGAGTCAACTACCTAAAAGTCTAATGATAATCCAGTTAGTCTTTAAGATTGAATAAACTAGTCCTTAATCCCATTTAACTTCCTGAGGTGGATAATAATAACTAGCTGCCTAACTGATGACTGATGTAAAAGAAGGATCAATTCTCTTTTATGGCATCAACCTGTGAAGTTGTTGAATACTGATCTTGGATTTATCGAGAAATATAGAGTTCCTGGCATGTTCTCGTGAAGTCATCGTAATTTGTTTTAATACGTTAGGTGAAGTGAACCTAATTCGTTTGAAGTGCAGTACTCACTGTCATTCTTTGTTTTCCAGTAAGTTATGACCTTACTAACTTCAATTGATTTTATTCGATTATTTTAAATTATATTTTTATTGGTTAGTTCTCGATTGTAATCGATATGATCTTTTCTATTCATTTGCATTTTATCCTGTTTCTTTCCCCTGTCGAAATGGCGATCGGAGATTTGACAACTTGAACTGATACATGTTTGTCCCAGGTCTTAATTTTCCACTGACAGATTAGTGGAAATTCAATCATGTTTTCTAAGATTTGTAATCATTGTTTGATAAAATCTGGCTAATTTTAGTGTAAAAATTTTCGGTTTTTCACATGGTAGTGAGCAACTTCTTGATTGATTCATGGTAATAATTTCGTTCCAATATATTCCTAATCCAGTTAGATTCGTTGCCCTTTGTGGTTAACTGTTTTGTATTCATAACATGTTAACCAGCCACCTCTGGGGTTGTATAATCATTGGTTGCGGGGAAACTACGTAAAAAGAATTGAAACTTGATCGGAATATTTTTTAAAAAATAGGATGGTTAGCTATGCTCTAATACATTTCTAGTATATATGAAAGGTAGATAACGTTAATCTCATGGGAGTTATTTTATTTATCATTATCTTGTATACCACCACATGATTAACCTTATTATTTCACACCAGTTTTTCATTATTTACTGAAGTTGTTTTCTAGCTCACTTTTTATTGCACCCTTCTTTCAGTTTGATGATCGCTGTGTATACGTTTGTTAGCGGGACATAGACTAGATTAAAGCATGCTCAATGCACGATTGTTTTGGTGCACGCTGATTGGTTGATTCTTATCCAATCAGCACTAGTCGATAGTCGGAGAATACTCTGGAATCTTCTTATGTAAAAACTATAAATATACCGACGTTTTCCCCTATTGTGCTTCCTACTGGCTTCTGACTTGCTATTTGGAATATAATCTTTTTCCTGTTCAACCGTGTTCTGATTTGGGGACTTGTCGAGTGAATCGGTGTCCAAGAATACTAAGCAATAGGAATAGCTGGGTCATAACCGTAAGAAGAAAGAGATTATAACAACGTTCCACGTGATTCATTGTATAAGAAGATCGAATAGGCATTGCGAGAGTTTGATATGTTTTTCAGTGTGGTGATATGTGAAGATTATAGTATTTTCGCATTTGAATTCACGATTCAATCTAAGCTAGACCACCATTAAGAACTTAGAAACATTGGACTTTAATGAAACATATGAATGGTTGCTAAAGTTAATGATAATCGTTTGCTATCCATTTATTTAAAATTTTCATTCGAAAAACTGCTTCAGAAATATGTTCTCAAGTGTACATTGGAAGATCGACGGACGTTAATATGATCCAATATGCACATTTAAGCATATTTTACAACATTGTATTTAAAGTAGAATTGTTTTCCACTATGTAAATGAAGGATTAGAATACTGATACAAAACTCTATCACTAAAAAGTTTTCTTCGACATATTGGCGAGACCACATCCATTGTAGCATCCTTGAAAGATGCTATCGTGATTATGGATGACCACTCTAATTTTGTACTCTGTTTGTTCTGTCAGAAATCTGGAGTCCACATACATCTGTGCTTTCGAACTAATGTTTGATAAACCCTTTGGATAGTTTTTCTATACCCATTAACCTCAAATAAGCACCACAGTAAATATGCAGATATACTCATTACTTTGTGTTGCATTTCAGTTCAGATTAAATTGTTAAACGGGTGTGCTTTTTAATATTTATACGCTTGGTTATAAGTGATATTTTATTACCCTATGCAATCATCTTAGTTGTTTCATATCACTTCAATATATTATTTATAATGTCATAGTATTGATATTTCCAGAAAGGCGAAAATATATTTTTGATCTTCACCATCAACATTCATATTATTTTGTCAACGTATTTTCAATCAAACTAATGTTTTTGTTGTCGTCTTATCATACGACATTTATTCTTTTTATTCTCTTTTACTTTGATCGTTTTACTGCTTCATTTGTCAAAACATGCACACTTTTGTTTAGATTGTCTTATGTACTTTAGTATTTTTTTAATCCATTTGTTTAGATTAATCTCAAGTCATCAACGATTAAGTAAACTTAATCACGAATTAGAAGAGAGATTATTAGATACTGTAAGTTTGTTTCACTGTCAAATTGATATTTCAGTGTGTATAAACCTCTTGATTGAAGACTATTTCAGATAGTCTGGTTATAATAAAAGTAAAAGTAATAATTGTAAAAATAGCTGTATTTAATAAACCACATATTTTGTTGAAGTAAAGCATTCTCAGCCTGACTTGTGAAATAATACAAGTTTTTTTTTAAAGTAAAATAAAATTCGAATTATTCTGAAAGGTATTTCGTTTCTGAATGATCAGAATGCACCACTTATCTTTATTCGTTAAAGCTCCCTACCAATCTCTTATGCTCGAGATATCATAATATTACCTTGGTACCGGCGAACGGGACCTAAACCGCCAACTCAATAACAGGGCATAGCTAAGCTACTCCTTCGCGCCTCAGCCCTGCTAAGTGAAGGAAGAAGACCAGAGTCAGCAGGGAGATTATGTGATTCCACAAGTAGCTCGGAAGAACGAATAATAAGCATTCAACTCATTCGTATTATTTACAATAATGTCCTCGAAAAGTGTCACAAAATAACGTACTAAGAAGGAAAACGAACCAATGACGGTTAAGACCCTTCCAGGTGAGAAACACGAACTGAAGATAATGATGGACACTTTCGGTGCGAAAATGAGAAATTCGGATTTTACCAAGTAATTTCTGGGGGTCTAGCATCCCCAACAATGACTATAAAAGATCATAACAAGCAATGATTTATATCGAAATAATAGTAAATAAAGATAACAATGTTGCTCTCTCAATAGATAATGTATAAAGGCAACACAATGTGTCACCAAAACTGTGATTTAAGTAGAGACAGCTATCTACAAAACATTCTTTTGCAATTCGAACATTGAACTTCGAAATCGAACTTGAAAGAAAGAAGTCGATACGACTGCGAACAAAAACTGTGCTACGGCTGAGAATGAAACTTGTAAATAATTCAGTGTGTCATTTTTTTTTAAGTAGCAACCACTTTGTGTCATTTCTTTAACTGATGATAATGCACGTATATCTGTATATAAACTAGTGAATTTGTTATTGAACAAATAGTTTTTTTGATTTTCTTGAATCTTTATGTAAAACGGTGTTTGTTTATTTATTTGTGTCATGATATACTACGTCTCAATTTCAGATATATCACAATCATGATATCAGTTTCGTCGGTACAAGGTGATATCATAATATCGAATCGTCATAGTTCTTTATTTGATGCATTTGCTCAAATCTCCATTAAAATGAAACGTTGTATTTGCATATATACACATGTGCTTCTTAACAGTTATCTGTAGTATAATTTGTATATTATATTTTTACTGAAATTCATTGTATTGCAATTGAGACAGCGTTTGTTTGTGTTTGTATGCCAATTGCCAGAGCGGCTTATGCCAATCTGGGCCACCTTTGGCGCCTTCGTGATGTTAGTCTGGCTGTAAAAGGTCGGATCTACAACGCGTCGGTGAGAGCAGTTTTGCTCTATGCTTGTGAAACCTGGCCTCTCCGAGTTGAGGATGTTAGACGACTCTCTGTGTTCGATCATCGCTGTCTCCGAAGGATTGCTGACATTCAGTGGCAACACCATGTCAGTAATGCAGAGGTTCGGCATCGTGTGTTCGGGCACAGAGATGATAATTCAATTGGTGTTACCATCTTGAAACACCGACTTCGGTGGCTTGGACATGTTCTCCGAATGCCGTCCCAGAGAATTCCACGTCGTGCATTATTTGCCGACTCTGGGACTGGTTGGAAGAAGCGGAGAGGTGGTCAGTGCATGACATGGTGTCGTGGCATGAAAGAAAGCTGCAAAGGACTGGCTTGTGTTGGTCCTTCACGACTCCCTGGTTGGGGTCCGAGAGATGGTGCTACACAGTGGCTAGAGAGGTTATCAGATATGGCTCAGAATAGAAGCCAGTGGCGATCCTGCTGTAACCTTCTTTTACTTTCTTCATAAAAAGTGGTTGTGTCTCCCTTACCTGAAAGATTTCTTCCGATTGTACCTTTCCGTTCCCTCATTTCTACCATACTACCTTACACCAACCTCCTCGTTGTTGTTCTCTTTTTTTTGCGCTCCTTAGCTTTTCTTCTTCTATTTCTCTTCGAATTGTCATTGTTTTGTGTGGCGCATATATATTGGTGCTCTCTTGTACCAATATCCATGTGTTCAAATAAATGAATAATAAACCAATTAACTGATGATAGTAATGATAGCCATGCTTTTTGTTCTGATGCTTAAGATAGTCTCAGTAACAGGTTACAATGATCACTTCATATCCAATTTTATCATTAAGAAGTATTTAGTATGTCTTCGTGATGTTTTTTTATATAATAATAATAATAATGATTATTATTATTATTTTGTGAGTTTACGTTTATTTGTTGTTTTTTCTTCTGGTTAATTGTTTGAAACAAGTTTACATGTATTGTTCATTGTGTTATTTCTTTTAAATAAAAATCCATTTGCTTAGATTGAGAAGTCCAGTACTGAAATTCATCAATTAACTGAAGAATTGGAATCAACTAAAAACTCTTTAAGAACAGCACAACAGACATTAAATTCTATCGTGGAGGAAAGGGTCGGTTTATTTAGATTTTTATTATTTTGTGTAAATTTAATTATTTCTTTGCTAATCTACTTAATTATGTTTATGCAATGATAAATACTTCTAAATATGATGTATACAATTCGTTTATTAAGCACTAGTTTATGTCGTTGTCTTTGAGTTAAACCATTTGTATTTATGGTCCTGTGATTCTTCTGTGATTAATTTATGGGGTTCGAACCTGTTGATAGTCGCAGTGTTAACGTTTTGGTTATCGTTCCACATACGTTTAGTAGCTAACACCAACAAGCTATTATTGACTAGTTGCATCGGTACTTGTTTAGTTAAAAGATTAACTTACAGTTTGAATAAATATACTCAGTTGATACTTCAACATGCATTTAGGTATTTCATCTCTAATAATTTCACTACTTATTGTTGGTGGTTCACTTTTCTCAATAGGTTCAGACTTTTACTTCTGTGTGAAATTACAGGTATTACTCATTTTGTAGCAAACCATTATCCTGTTTCTCCATTTCATTACCATCTTAAAATTCTATAAATCTCGTCTTATCTTTTCAAGATTTGACTGAATTTCTTTTGTTTAAACGTGGTTTAAAGATGAGGAAGTAATCCGCTCACACATAGTGTTTTAATTTCTGAGCATGAATGTTATTAGTGGAGAGTAACTATATTCTTTAAAACTCATAGGTTTGGAATATCCTTATATATATGAATCGCTTGAAATGAACTTAGCTAACATTCTTTTCAGAATAACTGATCGCTGAACAGTGATCAGTGGCATGTTTGTCTAGTAATCTGGTAGTGATCAATTTCCATGGATCAAGTTTCATTGTAACCACTAGTCGGAGTGAGTTTAGTCGTGGCCCGAATAGCTCAGTGATAACATCTCACTCTGTCAATCTGTGTGACATGAGTCCGGGTCCACCAGGGATCATCAATTCCCTAAAGATACGCCTTACTGATGAGTTTCAAATTCCATGAAACTTATGTCTAAGGTTTTCTGTTTTTGTTATGCACTGACAAAGTCCACTTCACTTTCAAATGTTAATGTTGTTGACTGGAAGATGGCCTAACAATTGTTAATCTTTTATGATCATTATCTGATGTGTATCTTTGTCCAGAACCTAATAGAAGATTCAATCTACAATCTGCCTTTTTATGTGGTACATGGATAATATCATAGTCATACGTGACGAATCTGAAAATTCGAACTGTCTGTTAACGACATTCGGTACAACGCACTAGCACATTAATCTTATACGAAGAGACGAATGATCACCTCCCCTTCTTCGCTATACTTGTTAGTGAAAAAAGAAGATGGTTCAGACAGACTCTGTATTTATTGAAAGGCTATATGGACAGGACACTAAAGCAGTTTTTATATTCACTGTTTTATCCAATACGATTGGGTTTCGTAAAGACATATTGGTTCGAATTTATTGGATCTGCACAAACTATAATATTAAGGACAAAGTAAAGTAAATTTTGCCATCATAATACTGATTTACCAGATGAATTGATATTCTGGTAGAGCTTATTAAATTTCTTGTTTGCGTTTTTGGTGGAGTTTTGTTCTCTGAGCTGGATGGTTTGGTCGTGGAGCTTTCATCGTTCTTCTGAACGACATCATCAGCACAAACTTCAGATAGAAGTGAAGTGTTTGAATTTCTCCATATGTGTCTCAAAGCTTGTTCTGTGCACCTCGACGTTGATTGGTTCTTATTGACCTTAAATTTGTCGTTGTTTACTTCTTTGTTTTGGTTGTGTCTCCCATTGTTTTGATTTTTGTTCTTATGTTTGTGCATGATTTTTCTGATTGGTTGATAAATTGGATTGATTTCAATATGCTTGTTGATTGCTAATTGACCTGAGTGCCAGGTTTCTAAAAATTCTCTGGTGTTTTTGGAGTTTCCTCTGTCTAAGATTTCCACATTTTTCCAATCGAATGAGTGTCCGCAGTTGTCCACGTGTATTGATATAAGTGAAGAGATATCATGCCGTTTGACTGCTAACTGATGTTCATGTAGGCGAAGGTGAAGGGGGCGTCCGCTTTGTCCGATGTAGTGTTTTTCGCAGTTGGCACAATTTATTTTGTAGATGATGTTTGATTTGTTTTCCTTTGTTATTTCATCTTTTGGTTTGCATAAGATTGATTGTAGTGATTTTGTCGGTTTGTGTGCCACACCTATTCCGAAGGTTTTTAGCAGTCTCGTCGCTGTTTCTGATATTCCTTGTATATATGGTAGGGTGATCCTTTTGTTGATTTTTGTGTTTGACTTGAGTTCTAATGCTGCGTGCGGTTGGTATTTTTTGATAAAGTTGATGGGGTAGCCGTTCTTCTGAAATACATCCTTTAGATATTTCTCTTCATTTCTTCGTGCTGCCAGTGTGCTGCAGTGTGTCCTCGCCCTCGCCTTCTTGTTTGCGTGCTTATCCCACTTTCATTAGTGTAACCTTGTCATTTTTTGTTAATTATGGTTAGCACAGTATTACTGTCAGTTTTAATTTCTCTACTTACTTTTTAGGATCGTTGTAGAGAAGATTGTATTTCTGCTGTCAAATTGCTTCAGGCAAATCCAAATCAATTCATATCCGAATTGCCACCAGTTGTAAGTAAAACTGTGACATTTATTAGTCGTGGTTATGTGATTGGAAATGATAAATTAACGTATGGTTTTCTATAATTTAACTAATTATTAATCAAACGACATTTCTCCGGGTCAACAATGAATTCCAAGTTTTTTCTATGTCAAACATGCACTTTTCATATTTTATTTGTGTACGTTTAAGTGGACTATTTTCGAAACCAGTCTCTGTTAATTTCGATGCTGATAAGACAATATTAAAAATAAAAGCTATCTTCCAGAAACACCTTATCGTTGAATCTGTGGTAAAATATCTATGTTAAACTTGAACGTTAATGGTGTTGCATCTTATTAATTCTCGTGGGGTTGTGGTGTGATTGTAACCATCATTGAAACTTTCAAATGATTATAGAATAACCAAACAGAATAGAATAACAGTTACAATTTCTTATATATATATATATATTATTGAGTATTAAAAATAATATATTGAACTAATTACACTCGTATTTCTAAAACGTTTGAAAAGTCTGAATATCCTAACGCGAATAATGAATGGTAACTGTTGGGATCTATTTGTGGTCTAATACTATACGTATATTTTTATTGTATAATCGTTAAGTAACTAAACTATGTATATTCATACTCCTTTTATTATTATCATTATTATTATATGATTTACCGTTCTTTGTTTATACTCATTCTATTAATTATAATTTCCCACAATGACAACCACTTTTGCTAGATCTTGTACAAATGTCGTTTTCTATTTTATGGTGTGGTCTGTTTGGTTTGTATATTAACCCAGTATGTTTGAAATATATGATTTATATCGCGGAGGTTTAGATTTATGTTCTGGATTCAACGGGTAGGGCTAGGTAGGAACGAGAGCTGATAAGGGCTCTAGACGGCTCATACGGGTTTATGCGTCATTGGTCACTGTTCTATAATTGGCGGTATCATTACGTTATATATTGATTGGGCACAAGGCCACAGTGTCGTTAAAGAGTTGAGAGACCTTTCTTGAAGATCTTTTGGAAAAACAATTGGCGTGGCAAGTGTTGTGATCTACAACTTCACGTTAATTTTATAAAGCATTTTATTGTTTAATAGTTAAATCTTTAAGCAATATGTTCTACCCACTAGCAAGTGATTGTAATAACACAACACTGGTATTCGGATTTTATGGTCACGTTGCTTGTCGTTATTCAGTGTCAATAGAATTACAGTTTCATTCGGATTCATTCCATTCGTCTTATATGGCATTTTGCATGGATATGATGTGTACTAGCCAATCAGTTGCCAACATTTCAACATTTATTCAAAACCGAATCCTTTAAGGGATAGATCGTTTTGCACCAATTTAAGAACCGTAACGCAGTGTAGGTACCCATATGCTGTCTGTGGTCCAAGTGTGTTTTTGATAGTAGTTATAATGAAAATGTATAATTACTTTCTCACCTTTTGAATTAAGACAATGGGTAGAAGGATTGTTGAGAGAAATTACAAGGCGTTTACATAATACGCATATATGTCCTTCGATCATCCATGTGCATCTAGTAGTGTGTTTTACAATTCAAATTGTCCTGTCGTTTGGTCACCAAGTGTCCTACATACTCCATTATCTATGTGCTGTAACCTTTTACTCCATCTAATGACAGTGACAACTTCGAGGCCGCGTACACCTAGATACTACTTAGGAGCAATCTTGTGAGTAGTTTCCAGTACGACGTAAATGCTTTTTTACCAATACTTCATAAACCGTCTTGATGTACTGACGTATGCAAGTTATCCTTTATTTCTCAATTTCGTATCATTTCAGGAATCCGCATCATCCGATAAAACTCATGTATTAACAAACCTTAGCAACGGAGATTGCTCACATGGTGCAAATAACTCACCATTTTCCAGTTCAGCTTCTATCTTTTCAACATTTTTACCAACTTTCCCACCTGTTGGACTTTTTACTGGCATACAAATGGAGAATAATTTGCAAGTATTACAAAAAAATTCTTCAAATAATACTTATGATCGTAACATTAATTTGTTGAATAAAACGACAGTAGTAACATCTGCTGTGAACTATACATCCTCATGTAAATCTAGCGGCATAATTGATTTATAGTTCTTTACGTATTTTTCTCGAACTAACATGATGTTAATTTCTGTTTATTCCTTACCTGTGATATTTATATTTACGTATGTTCAGTGCAGATAGAGTTTTATTTCTTTTTACTAGCATCCAGTTTCTCTTTTTATGCTTGCCTAATGCAATCAATAAAAGCTTAACATATAATTTGTAAGATTTAAAAATATGTATAGGTGAGTAAAATTCCTGAACTTTTGTAATAATCTGTAGAGTAAATTTATATCTAAATGATTCGTAAATAAAGAATATGCACTCAAGCGTTTGTTTTTAAAAACCTCATCTTTAAACCTTATTCGTAATCATTGTAACCAAATGGATAACATATTACGTGTTTATGAAGTACAACTAAATTATTTGATGTTATACGTTGAAATAATTAAATATCACACTGATTGTGACGCATACAGAAATTGGCAGTAGTGAATTTGACTTCGCATTAGAAGGGGATAGCAAAAGCTACTGTAAGTTGTTAAATTATCGTTGTGGCACATAATAGCAATGCATCAAGGTCATTATAGCAGCAATAATTAGAGCATTTCATAAAATGGTTTGTATCGAAAGAAGGGATTCTTATCTGTCAACATTTCCTAACACCCTACTATTTTCTCCGAAAGTCAATCTTACAAAATTTTTAGATCAGGATGCGACAGACGTAAACTATAATCAAAGATGTCTAGACTAGGTCAAAAAAATAGTGGGATTTTCGTTTGCATGTTCCGCTCTGTCGGCAGAACATCTACATCCCCAAAGTGCTTAAATATGAAGCCTAGTGGGTCTACCTGGTTGCATAAACCGAATTTGGTGTGTGCTGTGCTGCTTATACGGACAGATATATTTAGTATATATCAGGGAGTGTAGTGCTTACCATCAGATGAACTGAAGAGAAAAGGGAGTAAAATGTAGCAATCGGAATAACAAGAAGATTGGAAGAATGATGGGGTGTGTAAGGGACAGCTCACTAGAGATGAGCAAATAGTATTTTTAATTTGTTTCCAGATTTCAAAAAAATGTGTATGGCTTTGCATAATACGCTAAATTGGTCTGCCCCACCAAGTCTTAAATGTAGCAGTACTCACACTATGAGTGATGCCTTCTTCAGTACCTTTGGAGGTGCTTGTCTCTAGGTTGTGGTTTAATTATAAAGCTTTCCCAGATAATAACACAAACGTCGTGTTGAATTGGATTATTCGAATCTTTCTACATATGACTGACTGTCTGGTCTTAATTAGTTGTTATTATTTTTCCTACTGTCATCGTCTGGCCACTTATTATCATTATCTTCTATGATCTCACTTGTGAAAGCTCCACGGATAAGCAGCAGCGCACAGAACATGCATTAGTTTGACATGGTTATCTACTCACTTTGATGAAGAGGCTTGCATCAAGTAAAGTAACGTCCGTAATCCGAATTTCTAGTCATTGGAATTTCACAGAAATATCTTAATTGTCCGAGCAAGGGACGACATTCTCTACCTACACTCAAAGTATTTGATTCTCAACATGAAATGTACTCTAAATAGCTGTTCTTAGAGACCAAACTTTTCTCTATGGACTATTGTCGGTTCTAGAAATCGACAATCCTTATCTGTTTCTTTACATGTTGCCGACTGAGTCAGCTGTTTTTGGTGTGAAGAATACAGATTTCCATTGCACTGTCTAATTTGTCGGTAAGCTTTCTTGCTTAACTTTGATGGTAGCTATTCTTGGATAAAGTAGTAGGGTTAGGCATGAGGTCAGCAACTATATGTCGTATAGGCAACAATGGTAAAATAAATGAACAGAAGAAAACATCTAAACTCTGCCTTCGGAGTTTAAGTGTCTTCCCTTATAATAATGAAAACGACTTATGATGAGATTCTTCAAAAATCATATACCTAGTGTCCCTTCTAATAACCAGAACAATAGTAAATACAGGTCCATGGTTTGTCGCAACATTATAGGAGACTGAGAAGAACAGTCAAATAGCTCCATCTATAAGGAGATACATGTTGGTGGTGGTCGGAACAAGTAACAAGAGCTTTTTTGAAAAAAATAAGCTTCAGTATACGTACTGTTGTAGTCTGGTCATGGAGATCCTTAGCACACAAATATTTGCTCTAATGTTATCAACTTGAGCGTGAAGGCCACCTATAGGATGGAAATGTCATGGATCCTTCACCATCAAAGCACCTCTCAGTACAAAAAATGAAAGGATCACAATGAGTTTTTTCTAAATGCTAACCATATACGACTAACAGCGACGGAGACGATGTTGACCGACTTTATGGGAGGCTACACCCAAATGCAAAGAAATGCATAAGTATGTTTGTGAGTTGATAACACTAGGTGTGAATATATTATGTGACGAAAAAGACCGACCACTCAGAAGCAATCAAGAAGGTAAAGAGGAGCTGAGAAGTAGAGATACGTGAAATGCGTAACAATGACAGTGGTAAAAGCTATTAGAGAAAAGAATATGCGACAACTACACGAATAACAATGAAACGAGCATGTGAATATGGTTAAACAGAACAACCGGTCAATAAAAGATAATAGAAGGTAAGAACTGAGATTGAAAAATATCGTAATATGCTGCCGAAACGATTTATGAACTCTTGAATAGACCAACTGCCCCAACAACAGTGGAGATTGAAGTGGCACCTACAGAACTTCCATCACCGTCACCCCACCAACGATCGAATAAATAAATATGGCCATCTTTCAAATGAAGGATGTGAAAGCGGCAGGACCAAATACATACATAGCAACTGAAGCACTGAAATCAGAACTATAGATAACTTCGAAGATGCTCCATATTCTTTTCAAAAATATTTAAGAGTAATAACATATTCTGACAAACTGGAAAGAAGGATATGTTATCAAGGTAACTAAGAAAGGAGATTTCAGTGAGCGCAAAATCGACAGAGTTATCGCACTACTATCGACATCATGAAGTTTTTCAGTTCATTGTTCCTGAGCCGAATAAAAGATTCGGTGGACGCTGAACTTCGAGAACATCAGTCTCTATTCCATGAGGATTTATTGAGGATCAACCATATACGGACCAATCAATTAGGTAAGACATGTCACTAAACATCAAATTTCGTGAGTGTGATAAAGTATTTGATAGCATGAATAGACCAATATTATGGAAAGTTGTTCGATACTATAGCGTATATGAGATCTTCGACATCATACGGATTTCACATGACTTACTACAATACAAAGTCTTACGTGTTGTACACATCACAGACACACTCTAAGTGAAGACAGGGTCAGAAAAGACTGTCAAGCCACTCGCTTTTTCTTTCTTACGGCGGTTGGCTGGATCATGAGGACCTCCACTCCTCATGATAAGCATGGAATATAACTTACAGTTTGTATGCGACTAGAAATTTCAAACTTCACAGTTCACTCAGCTTTTCTATCCCGACACAGAAAAAAATGCAAGTGGAGACAGGTGATGTATCAGCAGCCTCTGGAGCTGTAGGTCTTAACATACACAAGAGAACCATACAGATCTCAAAATATAACACAGAGTACACCAACACAACCACACTTGACGGAAAACTTCAAAGGAGGTGGAAAGCTCAACATACCTGTCAATATTGTCACAGCTTTTTACAAAACTTTTATATATTAATTACTGTTACGTTGTGACCATTGTTTACACTTCTTAATGTAATTCATGTATCGTTGATTTTATTGAAAATTATAGTAAATATGAAGTCATTTTTTATACGAAGGGAGACACCATGAGGTTGAACTGAACCGGAATAATTGTAAATGTTAACACTTTTGCATTTATAAACAACTACAGGTAACAAGTGTTGTAAGGTGTAAAATACAGAATACATTTCTCCAACCGTTTGTACCCCTTTGCTTTGTCTTCTTGCCAACTAGTTTTTGAGCAAACGATTGATAACTAAGAATTTTTTAGTACTTGTGATTACCCTTGTTGTTTATCTTCACAGTACTATAATTGGTAATACTACATTATAGTATTATCGTATTCTATCGTATTAAGGCGATGCAATAATCGTTTTCGGGACAAAGTTCATTATATGAAAAACAATATAGTTATAACGATACAAGTCTATGTAAGAGGTACGGTTAATTGAACTGAGTGATAAAACGGACGAGGATTGCTTGGAAATATTAAACTCGTAACGTTCATATGACATAAAGCTAGCTCAAGGTGTTTCTGAATTTTTATTTCTTACCGTAGTATTTGTTGAAAACGTTAAAAGTAAGCACAAGATTTAGTAATCTTTTCGTTATATTGATGATGTCACAGGTATTCAGTGTTTGACAACGCTTCTACCAGTAACACCTTCTAATATATTTCGTTCCCACCCAGAGAAATCAAAAGACAGAGTCGAGGAGATCGGAAGAGTGTATTTGGCGATGACCAATATATCGGAATTCTCTGATCTAATCTGGCTAGCGATTGCGGTTGATGTTGAGCATGGCGTTACCACACGTGATCTGGTGCGGATGCATGACCGAGCGCCTTCAGCTAGATGAGTCCACTAAAACATATGGTCTGCATCCAATGTCGAAAACTTACAGAGCTATTTATTTTGGGGATTTATTTACCGCTACAGATCACTCCCCCTCTAGTGGGGCAGTGACGACCCTAAGACGTGGCCAGCCAGAAGTTTAAACCCAACGAGTTTGTCGTTGGTAAACACTCTTCTGATAGCTTACTAAGTGTAGCAGCGTCTGGTCGTCTTTCCTTACTATATGGGACCGAGGTACAACATAGTAAAAAAAGAAAAAGTTACAACGAAAATTTCGACTCCTCGTAAACTGCATCGTTCCTTTCCAGCCGTCCTGGAAAAGAAAAAAGAAAGTGTAAGTGCATGTCGAAATACACTCGTATGTGCGTAAAAACACAATGTCGGCGAAAAAATGGAAAATATACTCAAACAAACATAATAGCGTTAAAAAAATGTTTTGTTTTGTTTTTTTAAGTAAAAATATAAATATATAAG